CAATTTTGATCACCTTACACGATTTGAACAACTGGGTAAAATATAAAAATGTTTGCATTTCCTTTATTTCCTTTTCCCTCTCTGAAAAGAAGCACTTTACCGTAGAAAGCAAAGACTGGCTGAGAGTAGAAGTACATCCATGCCTTGTGCACTTCACAAAAGGTAGGAGGTAAAAGTTGCCAGCTGTGAATCAACCCTACATTCTGAATCAATTGCAAAAAAACACAGGAAAGGCTTTGATTGCCTGTGGTAGAGTAGTGAATATGTGCACCCCTTAACGTCAAATCAGAGCGAGCTGAAAAAGATTCAATCAACGGAATAATGGGCTCCACTTCACAATCAGACAAGTGCTCCTTACTTTGTAATTCCACCATTTATAGCTGATTACAAAGGCCTGTCTTATTCTACTCTTTTAAATAAGTATTAATTTTAAAAAATTATAATAATTTTGATAACAATTTTAATACTAATTATACTTATTTTAGGATATTAGTGGATTTATTTGCAATGCATTTTCTCTTAATTATTTCAGTGTTTAACTGCAGACGAATACTGAGACTGAAGTAAATGCAACACAGGCTTTATCGTAAAGAGCGAAGCTTTAAAAATGTGTGCAAATTAATTTAGTCTTTCTTTAAACACACAAGGAAGGCTCCGAAAAACAGGTCACAGGATTGCTTGAATTACACAGCCACTATAAATGTTTTCTCAAATTTAATACCCATTTATTATTTGAAACTGTTAGTAACCTTGAGTGGAAAAGTAAACACCATTTTTGTTTTCTGATTTCTCTCTTCTTTTCTTACCTCTCCAGAAGGTGTGCTGTGGTTTGAGTTTATCTGGAGGCCTGCTTACAAGCTTTTACCAATGCTGCTCTCTATAGGCAATAGCAAGAGGGTTGCCCGAGTTACTTGATGTTACTTGCCTTTGACGTTTTTCACCTTCTTCACATGGAAATATCTGAGTTTCATTCAGGACATCTCTGTAGTAGCACACTTCAGACAAGGAACTTCAGATTGGTAAGTTGACTTCATAGGTAATATTATTTTGTTTGCGCTTTTTCACATCTCTACCATTTCCTCTAACAACCTTTGTGTATTTAATTTGAGTCTTAAATATTCCACATGTATCACAAGCATAAAACTGTACTACAGGTATGATGTATTAAGCCGATCCAATTCATGTGAGTAGCAGTGATCATAGATCATGTGTAAATACACATTTTATAAACATACGAAGGAGAAGGGAAAAAATCTTCATCTCCAATGACCTATGTGCTATGACAAGCTGCAATGAAGACAATATATTGCAGCTCTAAATTATGCGCACGATAACTTTGGTTGTGCTCAGCTTTGTTTGTTTGTGTAGAGACATCAATACCAAGATATAATGTTTTTCTACCTTTTACATTAAGTTGTCAGTATCAAACATTGCATGTTATATAGTGGAAAAATCTCTTCTCATTTCCCAACACTACCTCCCACTTCCCCACTTTTTATTTCCCACATCAACATTCTTGTGGACTCTTTGATGAAACGGCCAATTATTGTTGAATTATGGTCAGATTTATCTTCTAAGCCTCTACTCACTAGGTTCAGAGGTGAGACTTCCTACAAGCTAGTTTGCTTATGATCATCGTAACAGTCCATTTAAAATATGCCAATCCCACTAGTTATCTTCTCTGTATCATCGAAAGTTATTGAACTCACTTTTTTCCTCCCCATTCTGCCAATTAAAACAAATTACAAGGCCAATTTGATGGACGCAAAATAACGCGGAGACAAAATATTACAATATTCTGGAGCACACACTGGTTAACAGTTGGAAGAAAGGATGGTGTAAATAATTGGTCCAAGTCCCCAATCCAAGTAAAATCAAAATGTATTAATACGTAACTGAGAATGCATTCAAAAATTACAGCTGTGTTCTACTTTAAACTTTAGTTCTGAAAGTTATTTATAGAAGTTATTAAATCATATGCATTGTCAGTCATAATTTTGGCATAAGAATATTTTCAACCCATTAAGCTTAATTAGCCATTATCCAGGCCCTCTTGCTTTCATTTCTTTACCCTTCAACTGTTAACTATTTTCAGTGAATTGACAACTTAGTAATAGATTCACTGCATTCTATTTGTTATGTAAATTTACAACTCGCAGAAGCTACTCAAGTTTCTTGTATAAATGTATCCTTCTACTTCTGTTAAAAAGGTCTATATTGGACACCGTGTTAAAATGTTATTTAATGCTTGAAATAATGATCCAATCCCATCCTCACTTAGAGCAAGTGTATTGAGTGTACTTCAGTGACCTAGTAACAATACTTATTCCTTTAATTGTTTAAATTTATATGCTTTATTCAGCAATGTTAGCAGCCACATTATAGTGGATTGTTGGTGGGTGGGAAGTCAAGACAATCAAGCTATCTGAAATTTGTTGCTTCCTACAATATTTCAACCGCTTCAACATCAGTAATTAAAATAATGAGTGGGGGAAAATGGATCAATTGAGCTTTTTGTGGCCATATTAAAGATTGTTGAAGAGGAACTCACATTGCACAGCTGAGAAGGCACATTCACAGAGGATGTAATACTGTTAGTGGTTTTATTGACAAAGATCAGTCAATAGCAGTACCATAAATGCTTTGCATAAAGCGGTTTGCTCCCTATGTGCTGAGTACTGTGGTGGATACTGTAAATAGGATAATTTTAGCTGATTCTTTGTATTCTATAGTGTAGTATAGCATTGAATCAATGAGAATTGAAATTCCTCAATCACCTTTATATCAAGACAATTTCTGATCAGCAGTTAAGTTTCCTCAGTTAGTTCTCTTGCTTTCTCGCTACATTGAAGTTCAAGCAACCAATTTACTGAATTATCTTTTATAATTCCCATGAATAATTGTTAAAAGATGAGGTATAGTATTCAAGATGTGTGGTGAAACTGACTGGATGATAAATTCACAAATATGTCAGTCTGCTTTCATTTCAAGCATAAGCTCTTAGACTGGTGAGTTTGAAGAATATACCAAGATCTTGCAAAGCTGCAGTAACATTGATGCTAAGTTTATTCTATCAGCTACATATCACTTTCAGTCAAAACACTCAGTTTTGCAATTCTGCAAATGTAGACCTTGCAAATTCATTAATGACAGAATAAAATGCTTGCCCCACTGTTTCCTCTTTAAAATGGACTATTTAGTATTCTCTGAACAACTTTATCTTGTTTTATTGAAGAATTTAAATATTGAAGGATTTTATTACTCAGAAGTATCCTGTTGTAAAAGACACTTCCTTCAGCCATTAATGTTTTATGTATTACATTATTTAAGTTATAAGCAGTTAAAGATATACTGCGGTCTGTTAAATCTAGTCCCAATATTAGTTTCAATTTATTTTAGTTGGATTAATGCCATGTTATGTTGGGGTCCAGATGGGTGCAAGTGATGTTACAGACTAAGGTTACCATAAAACTGACATATCATTAAATTAATTATTCTTATTCCATTCAGCAGGTGGAAGCTATTAAAGAAGCGGATGTAAATGGAATAATTCCTACCTTGATCTGAATAAGGAAGAGAAATGATGTAATTGCTTGCATCCAAATTGCTAGGTTTTCCTTTTGCAATTTGTTTTTATAAAGTTCACAAAGCAACATACTCGGAAACATACTCCAGCAGAATACCACATTTTACCTTCTTTGCAGAAGTGGTTAAATAATATTGGGTTAATATGAAACTGAACAGTGGAACATTATCATCAATGTTTTATTCTGCTTTTGTAGTGATAGGTTTGAGCACCACTATTTAAAAGCAAATCAGACTGAAGCCCAGCTGCCAAGACCACCTTGAGGAAAGGATATCAGCCCTTTGATTTGCATTGCTACAGTATTAAGACTCTTGCCAAATGGACCCTGTCCTAAAAAGTTCTCGAGCAGACCAATGCAGCACTGGTCAAACAAAGACCTGAGACTCAGCTAAGCATATGATTAGTTGCAAAATGTTAATTTTTTAAAAAAAAATTATCTTTCAGTGACACTCAATGTAATGAGGAATGGGAAATATAGCTTCTTGTTTGATGTTCCACTTCCACTCTGATTCCTGAAATTCTTAAATCCCATTAAGTAAAAATGGAATTTGATTAATTCGATCATAATAAAACCAGCGTTGGATCAGCACACCAGGGTTGAAAAAAGTAACAGACAAAAAAGCTTGGGTGTTTAAAGTTTGTAGATTATATGCAGAAGACAGTACAGAAGTAGAAAGCAGATCCAGTTTTCAAGTCATGGAAAAAATATTAGGTGCCCCTTTACACCAAATGCTTCCTGCAATTAGCAACTCTTTGCATGGATAACGTTACAAATTCAGTTTTGGTACCCTTTCACCATCAAATATTCCTAGAGCAAGTTGCCGATAATGTTCGGCCCTGTCTGTCTGACCTCTTGCCTCTGATGACAATTCCCTAAATACACCAATACAAAAAGAGTTTCACAGGAGCTACGTTATGGTCTTGGTAATGTAATGCCAAAATATTGTCACTTTCATGTTGTGAATCTGAGCCAATGCAAAATTAATTTCACTTAGCTAACTTAAAGCCAACAGAGAATATAGTCTTTCATCTTCTGTCTGGGCTTCAAGCCAGGCCCTAAAGATGAAGGCAGCATTGAAAGCCACATTGCCTTCCATTCCCCTTAAGAGATTTTTGAAAAAAATGTCCCATCTCCAAATGGCTGAAGGGGCCATCGCATTTGCTTTGCAAGTTATATTAAAAAAATTTTGTATTTATATAGGGCCCCAGAGCACTGGTGGCGAGAATAATTATCACCTTCAGATCGAGAAATCTGGTTTGAAAATGTGAGTCAACTAAGCAGCTGACCTCTTTCCATAAAGCTATCTCCAGCTAATTGAAGAATGTCCAGGCATGGAGCTGGTCTCAAAGTAAAGTCTATGGCTGCTAATTCATACCATATTCCCAGGCAATAAGAGAATAACTCTACAGATGATATTTTTATAATTTTAGGTACATTTTTAATATTAGTAATCACCTTACAGCATTCTATTATGACAGTGATCCAAGTTCCCAACTCTTATTGCATATGGAAATCAATCCAAATGGCTGCCCATGAAACATGCTGTAAAATGTATAGTGAACCATACTTTAAATGCACTACTGAGTCATCAAACATTAATGAATGGTAATAGGTAGTGCCTGCAGTTGGAGGTAAGAATACACTTTATATAAGTCCTTTCACCTTAATATAAAGCCACACCCTACCCTTCAAAATCTCCAAGAGCTAGAAATTCAAACATCTGTCCCACCTCACCAAAATTAATAAGTACAGTAATTCTTTACAGAAGGAAATAAACAGTCTTCATAAGTTATTAAGAGTAGTTGAGATAATTGGAATCATTCAAGGAACACGATTCTGAAGTGGGAAAACTGTAGTGTTGGTGTCTCGTGTTCATTTAAACCTCCCTTTTTGAACTTGAAAACACCAAGTAAATAGTTGGACTGATGTAGAACCGCACCACCTACTGGCTTAACAGAACCATTAAAATGCAGCACCTTTCAGGTATTGTACTTTGACATGATATAGAAACCTACAAACCACCTGTTGCAAAATAAATTTCATGTTATAAACTGTAAGAATCAAATACAGTGATGCTGGGAATGCGTTTCTTCTACATCGAGTTTCCATAGAATGAGAGTTCCAATGTAAATGCCCAATTACCCTCATAATTCTAGAACAAAAAAGGTCAAGGGGTGACCTGATAGTTATGAGGGGTTTTGATAAAAGTCAATAGGGAGAAATTATTTCCACTGATCAATGAGTCAGTAGCTAAAGGGCACAAATTTAAGATAATGGGCAAGTCAAAAAAGGTTTTCCACTTAGGATATGCAATGCCCTTCAGGGAGCAGTGGCTTAGACGGAATCCATATTGGCCTTCAACAGGGCAGATACCTTAAGAAGAATCAGCTACAGGGGTATGGGAAAGGTCAGGTAAACAGGACTGAAAGGATTGCTCGAGGGAGTCAATGGACATGATGGACATCCTCATCTGGGCTGTAAACTTTTCTGGCTTAATTCAAACAGGAAGAAAGTTTGTACTGTTGAATTTTAATAGACCATCAAAACTCTGGCAAACTTTATGCAAAACTAAGAAACCATTACAGAACTGTAAACAAAAACAAATGTGGCTTTAATGTAAAACAGAACATCAGGTTGAAAAGTAACATTTACCACCCACTAGGCTGTTGCTCCCTTCATTAAATATAGTGTCTGAAAGTTCTGAAGTTTGAAAATCAGAATTGCAGATACTTGCTGGTATGCTATTTGCTACAACTTGTATTATTTGGTTGCAAAATACACAAAAAACTTTCTAAAATAGCATTTCAAAAGTGTACCATTTTCATATTTAATGTTTCTCTGTAAATTCTGTGCTTAAAATAAATTAATATTTACACAACATAGTGGCTGACCACCAGTAAAATAGGATAACATGAATACAAACTGTTAATTTATATTGGTATCTGCTCTTGTAGATTTTCATGTCATAGGCAGGGATTCCCTGGTTATTTTATTATAAAAAAAAGTTAAGATCATGAGCAACTCATCAAAAATCCCAGGTCGATTTCATCATCTGCATCATTGTCCATCTTTTCATTTTTTTCCACTTTTTCATTTTCCTTTCTCCTCCTGGAAGTATTAACATACGCAACTTTATTCTCTTCTAGGCCAGGCTGTTTAGCATGATTGGCAGCACTCAAGGCAGATTGTAGACAAACATGAAACCTATAGTCAAAAATGCAAAAATTATCATCTCTCTCTGTATTCAAAATAATACCTTCAGAGTCTGATTAATAATATAATAGGCAATTTGACAAGCTTTAATACAGTGGAATCTATGGTAACAAAATTACATACTTGAAGAAAAAAAGATTTATATATAAACTCATTATCAGTATTTCTGAAAATTCAAATGAACCGAATGAGTTATACTGAGCTTCCAAGCAAATGCCGCATTACCTTTCTATCCTTCTTTGGTTTTCCTCCATTTTCTGATTTGCTACTTGCACAAGGTAATCAATGTATTCATCATTCACCAGCAATCTGCCTTTATGACACAAAGGAACCTCCAGGCAATGAGTGCTCCGGACAGCCTAACGATCCAGACAGACAAGAAGTTTATTCCAAACGTATCTACCATTCCATGTGTTGAATAAAATCAGAACTATCCATCACTTTTTCTCTTATGAGTGGACTCTACAGATTTGTTGATATGTTAAACATCATCAGGATTCAGGGTAAACATTCAAAACTCTGTAGCCTCTTCTCATAATTCATGCATTTAATTCTAGCTGTTTAGTTGCCCTTTGCTGCACTATCGCCAATTATGGAGCCCATGATAGCATGGATTGTATATGGTCTTTGAAGGAATGAGCTTGAGGCAGCAAAATGGCCTTTATTGTTTGCTGAGATAAAGAAAAATATTCACCTAATGCTTGTTGTGAATACCAATTGGTTATGTGCATTGCCTCTTTTCATGACTAAATACTGCATTGTAAAAACTGCAACAAAAGTGAGCAAAATGGGAATGGAGAACCTTGTTACATGGTTACCACTGCATCAGTAACATATACACTACTTTTTGAATAATGTTCTCTTTGAGCATTTAGCCTTGTTCATCCTGCCATCTTGTGGCCTGAATGAGAACTGACAAAGATTGCTTCCAACAAATTAAAACATAGCTTGAGCCCAGCAGGATCCCAACTTAAACTATGAGTAGTTTCATTAACTGTGCTACCTCTGTGGTCTGTGACCTTTTGGTTGGGAAGCAGGCACTCCACTACCAGAGCAGTTAAGATCCATTGCTGGCAGTATTGGTGATTGGTCATAATATCTCAGACATTTTTGTAATAAAATAAACTTCCAATTATAAAATAAGGAGATTGTAAAATAAGGAAAGCAGACACCTGGAAGTAAATTAAAATATAAAACAAGCATTTATTTAACAAACCATGCACTATAATTTATTATTATGAAGCACTATTTATAATATGTATATATATGCACGCTGGTGTTTAACATGTTTTCCTAATGTTTCATTGGTTAAGCACATTACATTTTGATAGTAAACTGTCAAAACATTCATAATTTTGCAGAGTTTATAAACTCTTACTTCCAAGTTAGTAATAATGTTAAAATAGCAAAATAGTGAAGGTAAGAGTGATTATTGCATATGCCCCAGTTATTTGTTAGTCCAGGATAGACACCTAGGGCTAAATATCATCATATGAATGAATTATGGTGCTGAGGTTAACTTTAAATACATTATTTTCCCCATGTCTAAATTCTGGGGGGATTAATTGCAGAGCAACTATATAATTGGAGCTCAGTTCAGGTTATTCATAATTGAATTTCCACAGCTATCCATTATTAACATGCTGATCATTATCTGAGGAAATGCGGTATACATAAGGACAAATAAATATCATTTAATAAAGTAATGCCAAAAATATTACTTTACCATCATTATTTTTCCTTTCTTGCCAACTGTGATTCCAGAGTTCCTGAAGCCAGCATTAATGGCCACAGAGTGCTGTAACCCAGGAAAATATTAATTGAATAAAATAACTAACCACAAAACACATTTTACACTCAAACACACTACTTAAAGCAAACAAATATTTGTTTTCAATTTTCTAATTTATTATTCATCAGCTTAGAAACTAAATGAATTTGTTTTAGATTCCCAATTTTAGAAATAAATACAAGTATAATACTAACATTTCTCCGAAAATGTTCTTACAGTAGATGTATATGTCTATTTTAATATATACAGTTAATGCTGAATGTATTCTTACCAACAGCTGTGCATCTTCCAATTGTCTGCACTGAACATGTAGAACAAATGGTTCAAATTTAAATACTGCATCATTGCACGTTTTCTGGAGCCCTGTGACCTACAGGATGCAAATCAGAAAAATATCAAAAAGTAATCGTAGGAACAGCAGTGGTTCAGCTACAAAAAGCTTATAAGCAATGCAGTATTCTCCAAACTTAACTTCCAATACAAAAACAAACATATAGTATTTATGCATGTTGATACTGGATGAATAACATTTTACTAAGTTGAGAAGATGCTCTTTTGGATCCAAATACTACAAAATGAACACATATGTCCCATGAATATTATAATAAACAATGGTACACTTAGAAATTACAATATAGCAGACAGTAACCGTTAAGATCAAAACATAATTTGCTCCTTACAAACTGAGTTAGAGCTGAACTTCACATAAATAATTATTTATGGGTTGTAAAGTTTCACATCCCTGTTCCCCACCCCACCGCCCCAAACCCCAACTTGAAGGGTACTATAATTGTACGTATAACTCAGATTTGCAATACAATTGCATGAGTGGGCTCTCACCTGAATTTTATTTGCTAACAGAACTGCATTGAAAACATTGAGCACAATTGGTTAAACAAAGTGTTTCAGGTAGTAACATACCACATCTTCTTTCCGACACTTCTGGTGAGTTACAAACAGCCAGGAGCAGGCCTGTTTCTGTACTTTGGTAACGTTTGGGCCCTAAACAAAATAAAAATCAATTACAAAATTATGTCAGAGGGGATGTCAAAACTGGCTGCTAGAAGTGGATATTAGATCCCATGATTTTGTTTCCGAAGATTGAGTGCTGTATAAGAACCAGAGCGCATGATTTAAACCTTCTTTAAATCATGGGTCTAACTTGTCTGAATCACAGCTGTTTTCGACAACAGGATGCACAGGTGTTCAGAAGCTAAGTGAAGGGCCAAAGCTATCAATGCAGGAGCAGGGCAAGCAGAGCAATGAATACATACACTAGAAGAGACTTTTATTTTTGGTCAGTCAGTGTTTGACATGTGTGGAAACCCTATACTTAAAGTATCCAAAGCAGAGAGTTCCACGTATGGCAAATACACATGGCAATTCCCATGTGTGGAATGGAATAGCGTGCGCTCACTCTAGAGGGATGCATCAGTTTACCTAATTCCAGAGTGTATCAGACACAGGTTGGCAAGAACCAAGGCTGGAGGACCTCAGTGTGCGTAGGGGTACTGCTGGGGTCTAACCGGCTAAAACCCCACAGCTTGCCACTGATTGAGAGCACGGTTTGGCAAGAGTCCAGCTGCTTGGCCAGCGAGGACCACCCTAACAGTTGGGTTTACGAGAGCTCATTGCGAAGTATCACTGCCCTCAGTCTGACCTTCCAAGAGTCTGACCCTGCCAGCGAGCCAGTCCGGCTGGTTTGTTATCAGCAGTGCCCCGGAGTACAGCGGAACGACCCGGCCCACCGGAGGGGGATCAGGCATCCCGTTGCCAAGCGCGTCACCTTATTATAACAATAATACTCGCATCTGAAACAGCCTCTTATCAGGTGGTCGAGACGTTTCAAAACACTTCGCAGGGTATACTGCAGGATGGTGCGTAGGTGTTTCTTGTGGGCGAAAAAGGCGGCCAAGACACACACAGTATTGTCCCACAAACAGCCGTAGAGAGAAAGAGAGAGAGACCACAACCTGGAGCTAACTTCAGCTGCAAAGAGCCCCAGTTACCCCCCAACCCCAAGAGGATAATGGAAGAAAAGCACTGCTGTGTTTTAAGGATTAAACAGCCAATTTGTACGTAAATGGAGATGGGGGTAGTCATTCCCACTCAGCTGCTGCTATCTATCCGCTCCATCCATCCAATTCACCACAACCACCACCACAACTCGCATCACTGGATACAGTGTTTATAAAAGTCGATACTGGACGAGTAACGCCCTTCTTAACTAAGTCGAGAAGCTGCTCTTTCGGATCAAAAACGCTACCGCGTAAAACGCAGCCGCTCTCGCGCGGTGTGAATACTCTGACAAGCGACGAACGGCGCACTCAGAAATCGCCGAATTTCACATAAAATACTCATTGGTGAGGTGTCGTGAAGTTTCACATGACTGTCTCTTCCGCCCCTCAGCAACGTGAAAGGCATTATAATAAATGTAAATTGTACGTATGGTGTCCGTCTGTGTGTGTGTGTGTGTGAGTCGAGAGCATCGCTCACCGAGTCGATTAAGAGCGTGCGGCCGGAGCACGAGCTGGTGGTGAAGAATTGCTCCGAGCCGTTGACGAAGCCCACGACGTGGCTGATCTCCTGGTCCACCGCGCCTTTCCTGCTCAGGTCGGCGCCGCTCAGGCGCTGCCGCTTCCACCGACCGAACCGCTCCATTGGGGGGTCGGGGCTTTGAATTTGAATTTGAAACGGATTCGAAACGGCTCCGGGTCACGCGCGTCAGAGGGAGGGAGGGAGGGAGGGGCGGGGCCCGGGGCCGGGGCTGCGCGCGGCGGCTTCCCTTTCCCGTGTGACGCGGTGACTGACGTGTGTGCGTGTGCTTGTGTGTGAGTGAGTGAGTGAGGCGGTGACGGGCGGCCATTTTTTGCCCCCCTCCCCTTCGCCCCTCCTTGGCGACAAACCGTAACCAGAGCCCACAGGACACAGTTATATTCGGTTTAAGTCGTGTTTCGTTTTGCTTTCGACCGAAGGGGGGAATCCTCCCGCCGAGAAAAGAGGGGAGAGAAGGAAGAGGAAAGTGGAGGGGAGGAGAGACCAACCGATGTGAGATGTTGCGATGGCCTGACCGGCGCGGCGGTTTGGTTGGTTGCAGGTGGACCCGACCCGTGAGCGGGGATGGCGCGACCTGCTGTGCAGTTGTTGAGACTGTCCCTTCTCAGCGTGGAGTCCCGCAGGACCTGGGCGACACGTTGGGCGGGTTTCCTCACAACAGCAACAACAAGATTGCATTTATAGAGCGCCTTTCGCGTCGGGAGGACGTCCCGAGGCGCTGGACAGTTGGGTGGGGACCCGAGCATTNGGGGGGGGGATAGTCAGGGTGAGGGGAGGGAAGGGAGGGAGCGAGGAGGGGGTGGAGAGTCGAGAGGGGAGCTGAAGGCGTGTGGTCGAAGAGAAAGGTCTTCGAGACCGGCCGTGAAGGAGGAAAGGGAGGAAGTTTACTCCGCACGCCTCTCTCTGCTTACCCAGCCGTTGAAGCAGCAGGAACCTCCTGCTTGTTAAGTCGATGGTCGGATTGCTTTTCCGGGGCTGGATGATCCCTCGGGGCAAAAAAAAAAATTTGATCACTCAATCCCGGCTGTTTGCGGGGCACCGCTGTGCGCAGTTGGCTGCCACCTTTCGCCCACGAAATGTACGGTTAATTCACTTTGCAGGATATTCTGTGGAGCGCTTTGAGGAGTCTCGAAGACGTGATAAGGCGCTATATCAAATGCAAGGATTATTATGAACATTTTTTGGACGCTTGCGAAGAGACTGCTTTATCCAGTTACTGAGAAACGCAATCTGCCAGAGTGCTCAAAACATAGGATTTCCCTAAAAAAAAGTTTGCCGTAAGAAAGCTATTACGGATTTACACCACTTAGGTACCTGAAGGAAAGTTCTGCATATACGTTCCCTGATTTCCCACACGCCCCCACCACACACACTTTTTGCCTTAGAAGGTAATAAACAGGTAAAACTCTCAATTCCCATGAGTAATGAAAAATCTTGAATGTTATTCAGACCTATAAATCCATACGTTTCAGAAATTTAGCTGTTTTGTTTTACATGTTTGCCTATAAAATACAAGAAATCCTGTGAAGTGTTTGAGAGGTTCTCCAGAAATGAAGGATAATACATAAAATGCATTATTGTTATTTATCCATATAATGCATATTATGCATAAGCCATTATGTTGTATTATGTAGACTTGAAAGGGCTATTTTAAATGCAAGGATTATTATTTTACAACATTGAAACTTATCAAACAATTTATCCACTGATTTATTGAATCTCGCAATGAATTATTTCAGCTTGGAGTCAGGTTTATTGTTCAGACACTATAAGCAATTGGCCACTTGATTATATCATGTAAATAAATGATGCAGGCTCAATATTTGACATAAATTATATTACTTGCACTTGTTTTTATTAGCTTTGACACAAATATAATTCAAAAAGATTTATATTTGTTATTGAAATAGGCAATACACTGAGGAGAATACAGTGAAATTAATAAATGAAAAACAGCATTTATTTGATTTAATTTTAGATTACCATGGCTTCTGGGAGATCAACTGGATTATTAATGCGAGCTGTTCGAGTTTCAGAGTTTGGAGGACCAGCAGTCCTCAAGTTACAATCTAATACTCCAATTCCTAACCCAATGGAAAATCAGGTAAATCCAGCTTTTTAAACTGAAAAATTATAGGATAAGTAATTGTGTTCTGCAATTCATTAGGGGAGTCAATCTTCATGCACAATAGGAAGGTACAAATCCAACCCAAATTAATATGATCAAATTGAAATTTATATCACAAAGAGTTGTTGAGGTAAATAGCATAGATTTATTTAAGAGAAAGCTAGATAGGTACATGAGGGAGAAAGGAATAGAAGGTTATGCTTGAAAGCTTAGTTGAGGAAGGGCAGGAGAAGGCTCATGTGGAGCAAAAACACTGGCATAGACCAGTTGTGCCGAATGGCCTGTTTCTGTGCTGCATATTCTAATGTAATATAATGTTTATCATGAGGTTGCAATAAAGTAAACCAATCCAGTATGCTGATTCTAGCTGGAGTTGACCTAAAATAGTTCTGGACCAGCAGAAGTTTTGGTTACTTTACTGATCTGTCAACTCTGAAGAATCTTTTTCCATTTAGGTTCTAATCAAAGTTTTTGCTTGTGGGGTAAATCCAGTTGAAACATATATTCGTTCTGGGACTTATGTTCGGAAGCCCACTTTGCCCTGGACACCTGGCAATGATGTCGCTGGAGTTGTGGAACAAGTGGGAGAATATGTGACTAAATTTAAGGTAATTTGTTGCATTTTATGATTATCCAAAAGATTGATGATAAATGAGATCCTGATACAGATCAAACTATATTTAAAAATAGATTGGGGACTTTCACCAAAATGGAATTTGAAGAGATAATATAATAATAATAATAATCCTTGCATTTGATATAGAGCTTTTCACGTTGGGAGGACGTCCCAAAGCGCTTCACAGAACACACTGTAAAGTGAATTGACTGTATATTTGTGGGTGAACGCGGCAGCCAATTGCGCACAGCAATGTCCCACAAACAGCCGTAGATTGAAAATGACCAATTTATTATTGTTTTTGGTTTTGGAGGGATTATTATTAGCCGTGTGGAGTAAGGAAACTTGCCCAAGGTTTGGCCCTGCCTGGAATTGAACTTAGGTCTCTCGCTTGCAAAGCGAGTGCTCTAATCACTGAGCTACAGGACTCCCAGATGTGCTGTACTGTATGAAGCGTCGATCTATTATTGTCCAAATTTGCTGGTTAAATACACTCCACTCTCTTGAGAAAAAAAAATGTGAATTATAATGAGTTGTGCGATTCATGTTTAGTATAATGTAATGCCCATGTTTATATCCAATGTAAGTTTTTGTTTCCTAAGTACATTTATATATTTTTATTATTTGTATAGTGTATACAGTCNTTTTTTAATATTAGAGACTGGCTCAGTTTCTTCTTTTAATGTAGTATTCTATTTGTAAATGAGTCTTTTGAGAGATTAATCTAAACATATCTGTTATGTGGACTGGCTGTGTGGTTATCATGCCTGGTATTGGTCCTCAGACAAGTTATTGAGAAAAACATCTTTAAAGTGTACAGCTTTTGGTGTGAAAATCTATTTGTGCACAAAGTTGGACTCAGTTAATGACAATGCATCTCTATTCTCTGAGAGAAAGGTGATCGTGTCTTTACGAGTGGAACCATCACGGGTGGATATGCAGAGTATACAGTTGCTTCAGATGACTCAGTTTACCCCTTGCCCGATACCCTAAACTACAAGCAAGGAGCAGCAATAGGAATCCCTTACTTCACTGCATATCGTGCTCTCTTCCACAAGTAAGACAATGTGAGCCTTTTTTTTCAAAAAAGGTGCTACAATTCAGGATTAATGTTAGCTAAGAAGAAATTCTAATGCAAATGTATTAAACCGCTGAATGATTTGGTGATACATGTTCATGGTTATTTATCGTTTTTATAATCGACTCTATATTTTCCATTGTTATGGAATGGGCCCAAACAGATGATGTTTTCATTTGTACTTCTTTCTGGTTTAGAGCAAATGCAAAACCAGGAGAAAGTGTGCTGGTTCATGGAGCAAGTGGAGGGGTAAGGTTATGTTTCTGGATTTGCTGTAGCTTCCGCAATGACTTAAATCTGCTGCATTTACGTAACTACAGCAAATGGAGTTATTAGAAAGCCTTGGTGTAAAATTTCACTTGCACTACTTGCATAGGTAAATAAGTTATAGGCTATTTGAGAGTGCACTAACATCTTGCACGTACCAATTTTCTACTGAGTAAAGAAAAATTATGGAAGCATGTGTTATGTTACAAAATCATTTGTTTTGATTGCACAATAGAATTCAAACAAAAATCAAAAATAATATTTAAATATAATAATAATACTTGCATTTGATATAGTGTTTTGTTATGTCTTTGGTACATCTCAAAGCGCTTCCACAAATATACTGTAAAGTGAATTGACTATATTTTGTGGGCGAAACACGGCAGCCAATTGCGCACAGCAGTGTCCCACTAACAGTCGTGGATTGAAGTCATCACATATTGGCTAATATGGATGAGAAAATAGTTTTACAGATATGTAGGACAAAGATTAAAGTTTAATGAGATAGATATCTGCATTTTACACTTAGATATAGCAACCCACATAATATAGCATTTGGGATAAGGAAGGTAAAAGGTTCTTTAATAGTGCAAATACATACACATTAGATACTGATTTTCTGATTTGCATCAATGTGTAAAAAATTTGGTTGAGTCAGAATGTGAATCGGAATGGATTGTGAAACAGAAAGTAATTAGGGTTGAAAGGATTCTTGACATTTGCTTGCAGAACTGGAAACCATTTATATTGTATTCGTTTATATAACCTGTTGATAAAGATAAAATGTATTCATCATGTTAACTTTCAGGTTGGTATAGCAACATGCCAGATTGCTAGAGCATTTGGCTTAAAGGTGTTTGGTACCGCTGGGACTCAGGATGGACTGGGTGTAGTTCAAAAGAATGGTGCTTCCAAGACCTTCAATCACAGAGAGTCTGGATATATTGATAAGATTAAGGTATAAAATTATTTGGTTAAATGTTTTCATTTTTTATGAATTGATTACATTTTTGAGACTTTTATGGGTGTAGATTCTATTAAATTATGTAATAATAATAATAATCCTTGCATTTGATATAGCGTTTTTCATGTCTACTAGACATCTCAAAGTGCTTCACAGAATATACTGTAAAGTGAATTGACTGTATATTTGTGGGCGAACGCAGCAGCCAATTGCGCACAGCAGTGTCCCACAAACAGTCGTAGATTGAAAATGACCAATTATTATTATTGTTTTGTTTTTTTGGAGGGATTATTATTAGGCGTGTAGAATAAGGAAACTTGCCCAAGGTTTCACCCTGCCTGTAGCGTATGTCTGATTCTGACATAGCCAGAGGATCACAATTACTGTAATATACTGTAATGAGCTCGCATGCAAAGCTGCTATTGTTTTGAGGAAAACTAACAATGCATGCAGACCACCTATTGTCATGTTAGACTATTCATCTTGCCCCTTAAAGTTTCAATTATTTTCAAGAGATCTCAATTACGTTCCTTGTTTATGACATAAGCATTTATGCAAGTGTGCTTAACTCTTTCACAGATATCAATCAAGGTTTATATTATATCCCAGATATCAGTAACATACAGTAATGCAGTATAAAATTAGAAGTCACACCATTATTTGGTTGATGCTTTACAAATAATTGATTTCCGTGTTGGATTACACAATGCTCTGACTCTTAAAGTTGTCAGTTGGAGAATTAATCTTTGGTTGGTTATTTTTGTTATTTTCAGGAATATACAGGTGCTCAAGGAATGAATATAATCATAGAAATGATGGCCAATATAAATCTGAGCATCGATTTGCAGCTTATTTCAAACCATGGCAGAGTGATTGTAAGTAACATGTGATCTACTCATTGAAATCATTTTATGATAAACCAATTTTTAAACTCAGTTTTAATGGTGATAGTGTTTATCATTTTTCTCAACTACATTTTCACTGAATTTTAGATTTACTTTTAATTTGTAGATTGTTGGTAACAGAGGTTCCATTGAAATAAATCCCAGAGATACTATGGCCAAAGAGTCCAGCATCATTGGCATGTCTTTATTTAGTTCAACCAAGGTAAGAACTGTAATTTCAAAATTGTATACCAAAACTATTACATTGCTTTGCTCTCTTCTGTTTCAATTGTAATTTTCATCCTCATAAAAACAGGACAGTCAAGCCTACCAGACGGCATGTTTCAGTAGTGCAATCAGGGTGTCCCCAGGCTATTTTCCTATCCTTTTCTTCTTTACATTGTATGCTTTTGAGAGGCAAAAGTATTTCATTTACTTTGTGATTAGACTTTAGTCATGCTAGAAAAAGCATTGGTGCTTGTTTCTATGTGATATGTTAACCATTTTCAGTTTTAAGTANTTTTTTACAAAGGCTTATCAAAGCTGTTTTCAAAATAAAGGGAAATAATCGTAAATATTTTCATTCTAAATCAATCTGAATTAGCTGTTAGTCAGCTATTCAATAAGGACAGTTTTATTTCGGATCAACAATCTACTTAAACAGGATTCAATGACCTAGATACATTATTATTTATCATAACAACAGAAGTCAAAAACTTACATAAGGCAGGCAATATACCATGAAATGCACTTCAGGCTGAAATGTTTATATCGTGCTTTGGCCCTTACTTTCTTCCTATTTTTGTAGCACTCCAGGCACAATTTGGATTTTACTCATTTGATGTAAAAGTTACTTATAGCCATGACTTCTGTGGATGTTTGTGCTGTGAAAAAATAAACATTGTGATGTAAGAATATGCAAGATAATTAATCCTATGACAATGGGATATATTATACATGGATCATTGGAGATTTGGGGGATTTGTAGACTTTTTGTCCCGAAATGTTCAGAATATGGCCATAATATTCTTCAATATTCATAAGATGTATCCGTTTATAGTCACTAAAACATAAAAATAGCAGTCTTCTATTTGGAATTTGATGAGATGTTACTGTAACCAACAGTAGATCAATTCTTTAGTCTTTCTGTTTTGCAGGAGGATCTCCAGGAGTCTGCTGCTGCACTTCTTGCTGGAATTGAAGCTGGTTGGCTACAACCATTAATTGGTCGTGAATATCCACTAGAGAAAGTGGCACAGGCTCATGAAGATATTATTAACTCCCATGGAGCTACTGGAAAAATGGTTCTTACAATGTGAACCCTCTGTTCTATAAGGAGGAAATAATAAACTCACTGTTGAATATGATTCAAATTATCTATATATAATCACAGCAATCTTTGATAATTCTTCAAAATCAAAAACACACAAATTTTATATTCTGCCGAATATTGACTAATTGTGGATGCCTTCAGCGGTTGTGGCATTATTGTATTGAATATGGATACAATTCAGTAAAGCTGGACAAGAGTATATTAATAACATTGTTCTTTTAAAAATTTGTGCTGAAATAATATATATAAAATGTAATACAGTGTTTTGGATTTATTTAGTAATGGTAACTCGATTTCTAAAATGTGTATTGGTAGATATGATCCCTTATACTCGCATGCACACACACACGTATCGTAGTTTGTTTTGGAAGTTGGTTATCTTATCAGGATCACAAAGTAGTTTATAGGGTTGGGTAATTATCTTGGAAATAATATATCATAGTGCATAAAATCCTGTGTTATTCAATAGATTAATAAGGAGAATTCTTTGATCTTAAACAGAAGAAAAATAAAAAAACGACATTGGCCTCATTGAGCAGATTATTGATCTTTGTAACTGTAAAGCCAGTAGGTCTTATTTATTGAGAGCTTTGGTGTAAAATTTCACTTGCCTGTGTAGATAAATAATTTATAGGCTGTTTTAGAGGACACTGTTATCTTGTGTCTGCTGAGTGAAAGCGTATAGAAACACATTTCATTATTACAAAATATAATAATAATCCTTGCATTTGATATAGCACTTTTCACGTCTTCTACACGTCTCAAAGGGATTAACAGAATATACTGTAAAGTGAATTGACTATTTTTTAAAAGAATTTAAGAATCATTGTTGGGAATCCTGGGGAGTAATAAGTAATTTTATTTGCTTGTCCAGCATAGTTAAAAAAATCAAATCAGAATTTACAAATGGTTTAAAACGACTATTGGGGTTCACCTCCATAGTCAAAAGTTTTTTAAAAAATAAGACTATCCTTTATTCTTCTCAATGACATTATAATGTATTGATATTTTCTCTCGAGTGAATCTTAAATTGAATGTTGATTATTGAAGTCGAGTTGAGTTTCATAATTGCAGAATTTGGAATATTTCCGTCATTCGTTTTGTTAAAAATGCGAAAAATGAGTGAACATTTTGTTACAAAAAGCAGAAACTAGATAGGAAAAAATGTCTTAAGTGCCTCATTGTCAGTTTTCAAATCCATTAACAATTTGTACTTCATTAAGAAAAAGCAGATGACAATACAGCAGAACATTATGACTAAAACCATTAAATTGCACAGAAAGGTTATCACTAAGTGAATGAATGAATAAAATAAATAAATGTATTTTGTTGATAATCTCAGCTGTCTCCGCGGTCATTATGTGGTGCAAAGCAGAAAGATGCAAAATCATTGGGAATCAATGGACGGCTTCAAAGATGGCATTTTCAAAGGCTTTCCTCCGAAGATCCCCAGTGGCTGAACAGTAGAGAGAGAAAAAAAAGATTCGGCCTCATTTGGGTGAAGCGTCGCATTAAAAAAAAGGGGGGGGGGGGGGGTGGGGGGAAATCGACGTCACGATAATTTTTAATTGAATCAGATAGATTCAGACAGGTGTGTGGAGGTGTGTGTGTGTGTGTGTGGAGCAACAACAACAACAACTTGGATTTACATAGCGCCCTCCGCGCCCGCCGGACGGCGTCTCAGAGCGGGTCTTAGCGGAGACAGCAGCGAGCGCTTGATTCAGCGCTGAGATTCGTGGCGGGACACAGCGCGGTGGGTGGGTGGGGGGGGGTCTGCGCTGCATTGGGCAGAGCCCAGAGCCCACCACCACCACCAGCAGCAGCAGCAGCAGCAGCACCACCACCACCACCACCACCAGCACTACCACCACCAGCACCAGCCGCCGCGAGATGGGACCAATCACAAGCGAAACAAATCAATCAACAGGAGGGGGCGGGACGCCAGGCCTTTGGAGCAAAGTGATTGGCTGCGGCGGGGTGGTCACGTGCGCCCGGTGACCGTCTCCCCGGCCCGTCCCGTCAGGTCCCGTCCCCTTAGCAACAGTGTTGCGAAGTGAAGCCGCGCAGCCTCAGATCAGCCCCTTCCCTGAAGCTGTCAGTCACCGCCTATAGAATGTGAGCCCGGATCTCAGTGCGTTCAGCTCCAGCCCCAGGGACCAGGACCAGGACCAGGATCAGCTCCTCCACCTGCACTGCACCGTTCATTTCAAGACCCCCCCACTCCCACCCCACCCCCCAGTACAAAGCAAAGCAAACAAGAACACTTCGACACGTCTCATTGCACCGCAGGGAGGAGAGAAAAAGGGTCGGAAACCAACCCCCACCCCACCCACCACACACACACACACACGTTGAGAAAATGAGTCACTCGTATCCCGGGTAAGTAAGGATCTCTGCGATGTGTCTTAGCGACTGGAATGCGGGTCCGGGAGTCCCCTCTCGGGGTCAGCCGATAGCAGTTGCTCACGATAACGCTGGTTTGCCCGCACAAGGACGCGCACCTCTGCAGGACCTGTGCACACCAGGAGCAGACGCTGCGGATCAAATGTGACTCAGGGTTCTGCTCAGTATCTGAAACAGGGAGAGGAGAGGGAAACACTGTGATGCAGGTTCGCATTCCCAGTCCTTGACATTAGGAGGGATATCCCGGTTGCGTTCGGTGCAGTATTTTGATGACCCGCAGCGTCGATCACAGGGAAGCGATGGAGCGCCTTCTGATCTCTGGTCTTGGACATTGTTGACTGGAAGCAATTGAAAAGTTTCCAAGTCATTGCAAGTGTTCAAAGCAAATAACCAGAAAACGAATCTATTGATACTGCATTAAGTGGCAGTAGCTGTATTCGAATCGACTGCACGGACACCGAGTTGCTCATTTATACTTTCAACCATATGGGCATCTAATTGGCGATGATATAAAATAAGAAGGAATTCGAGTGCGCAATAAAACATTGTCAAGTTCACAGTTTTATTGTGTGTGTGAGGGAAAGCTTTCTTTGCACAATGAAACCTTTCCCTTCCTACAGGTTGCTGTGATTTACTATGATTTACTTTTGGTTTCCTTATTGAGGAGTCCAGTTAGAAATCACTACACATTGTATAAATATTATGCACATATGGAAACTGAAGAACTATATATGTATGGTTTCCAATACAGTACATTGAATGCACGTAAATACCAGTTCACTGGATGTTCAACAAAAATTGCAAAACCAATTAGAATGAAAGCAAAAATAATGGTCAGAATTGCAAATGCGGTTTAATAATACGATACTGATAATAAATAAATATTGAGTTAGTGCTAACATACTAAAATATTTCTTTTGTTATTTTATTTCACATTGTGCGCCAAATTTTGCGTCAAAGGGATCGAGGTTTGGCACTGAGGCAGAAAGGTGATGAAAATTTATCCATAAATCCAAAAAAATGAATTTTTTTTAAAAAAAATCAGTGTCCAGCGCCTTGCCACGTCCTCCCAATGTGAAAGGCACTATACAAATGTAATCTTGTTGTTGTTGAAAATAGCCTATGTAAATGCTACTCCTGTACATAAAATAGGGATGAGATTGATGGGCAGAAATCATCAGAATGCAGAATCAAACTTAAGTCATTTCACTCTGTGGTACTGCAGCGGGTTGGTAGCAGTGATAGCGTGACATGAATGGTATTAATTGCAAGCAATTTGATGTTTCCCATGAGTGGTCCAGGACTCTGAATGGTGATGTGTCAGTTAATTGTAGAAACATCACATGTTTGATCCTATCCTTACCTGAGTTCAGACTCATGTACTTTCTAGTAGTAGTCACCTAAATTGAATGTATAAGGATTCTTAACACAATGCGAATTTTCACGATGGGAGCACTTACTAAGGCACTGAAATATAATAAACACACCATCTTAAACCCATTCTCACTTGATTGAAAAGCCAGAAGAAAATATATAAATTACATCATTTAAATATCTGACACTGCTGAGAGGGGCTGGAAGCTGACTTTCCCCAAGGAAAAAGTTAAAGCAAAACTTTACAAAGTAAATAAATAGTTCACCATTCCTTTTTACTTGAAAACACCAGCATCTCCACTATTAAGGCTATCATCTTTATTAAGATGTTAGTTTATGTCAACGTGATTCATGTGGGGAATCATATTTGTGTAAGTAACGTAAGGTATGCATGCATTCAAGGCATCCAGTACAGGTACTTTGTTAATGAGTTACAATGGATGTCTCATTTCTAGGAGAATTCAAAAATTCTGTTATGAAAACAAGTAAATAAAGCAAAGTTCACTATTCAGAGAAATGAGTCGTAAACTTTGAACTAGCTAACTGTGTAATTTCCAGAGACATTTGGTTGTGCGTACATGATCATATTGTGGAAGAGTTATATTAGGAATGACCTGTTTTGAAATCAAGTTTAATCGACTATGCAGACCTCAGGGTAAGCTGGCTGGCAGGTGTGTAAAGCTTTTGTTGATTTGGTTGCAGCCTGGACCAATAAAATTGCACATTGCACAATAATCTCAGTATCAGTACAGCGTGTACATGCCAAGTCCATATTTGCATCACATCATGTTGTTCTGACTACAATATTCCGACTGTGTATCATAAGGTCAAACATTATTGATGATACATACATCTGAAGTTGCAACATATGATGAATTGTTAAATAATCACCTCCTTCAAGATATCTATGGCAACAGATGATACTCTGCTACTGTTTGAACCATGAATGCAAAGAATCCAGAACAAGATTAAATTTAATCAGTATTTGTATTTTTTTTGTTTTAAATAGTTTCTCTCTTCCAAACAGCTTGAAAAGAAGTACAGTGCTACATTCTACAGAAACAGAATAAATTTTCAGTTATATTAAATTTCAGGACATATTGAGATTGTTTCAAGTGTATGTTCGTAAAGAGGAACATGTACTTGTTTGGAGATAGAAACTTGTTGAGCAAATATTTATTAGCAAACATATGATAGACACAAAGACTCAGCAACAAATGTTTGCTATGATAACATTGTAACCAAGACTACTTATTCATTACCTTAATGGAAAATATTTGGCTACTTTCAAATTCTCCACTGCGTACAGCAACCTCAGTCTATACTGTTCCCAATTACATTGATAACACTAGTTGCATCAAATACTTATCCGAATTTTAGTTATAAGTCAAAAGCCTCTTGATAAAACTTTCATCTTTTGTTCATTGAAAGCACCCGCATTACAAATGATAGGTTCTATGTTTCTATTGCCTTAATGCATCATTCTACTCGGGAACTTTGCCCACGTAGATATTGAATAAATAATGCAATTATATAAAAGAACTTCTTCTGTCAAATTTACAAGAAAAATAGTGGTGAGATACAAAAATAAGGATTATTAGACGTTTACATTATGAGATTTTCAGATAATTAAGAAGAAAGGAAAATGGAGAAAAAAGAAAATAGCTGTAGGCTAACCCTGTAGCTGAGCAGAATTTTGCTATTATTTTTCGGTGTAAGTTCCCTTGGATAGTTTCCTGAAAGTGCATAAAGCACAATCATTTTCACTGTTACCTCTTAAGTATTTTCATATTATTGTCTTGGATTGTTAGTCCACAAGGCCATTTTTTTAACAGTAACCTAGTCGGTAGGGCATGCTGAGAAATATTGAATACAGATATCATGGCTATATATAGTATATGGCCTCATCGGCTAAGTGTGATAGATTTAGTGTACAAATTTGGCATTACTTTACTTCAAGACAGGGTCTGTTCTTATGAGACATGCATTTCCTGAATGAGTAAGGTATCAGTACAGTATAGGCCAAGGAGTACCCATCCTGATTCAAGTCCAGTGGGCCCTGTATCTCTCAGTACTGGCTGCGAAATACAAATACAAGATTCGTAAATTGGAAGAGGGTCAAATTCCTAATTAAAACCCCAGGCAATTTATTTCAAAATTAAATTAAGTTCTTAAGAGTGTGAGGTTCAATGGGAATGTTGCCCAGTCATCAGCTGATCATGCAATGAATTAACTAGTTATGGGCCAAATTATTATTCTCTTTACAATTTAAGAATTAAATCTGGCCAGCCATAGAGGAAGTAAAGCACTGAAAAGGGACTTTTCCCTTGGTGACCTGTTAATTAGCAATGTGTCCACTACCAGGAAATTGGACAGGTTTACCGGTACCTTGTCCCCAAGCAATGAATTACAAACTAAGCATGCAATAGGGTGTGCAGAGGGCAAATTGGCTAGCAATTAAACATCCGACTGAGCTTATTTGCAATTAAACTATTTTGCAATTCATTATAGATATTTTGACAACAATATCACCAACTGTCAAGGTTCTGAATAGTGGCTTGGTTGACTATATTTTTGTTTAATTTACAGTTCATTGCACCTCTGGACTTAAGTTTGAACAGGAAAATGTTTCATCCTTTTTCTCCAGAAAGACTTTTGCTATTAATTGTCATAGTTTCAAAACTACATCTGGTCCTGCACACAATAATGTTTAGTATGTAGTTTAAACTAAGGGTTTAATTAATTTAGTTATTTGTAGTATTTCAAAGTGACATGGAAGATAATGCTTGAATGTGTGCCAATAATTCTAATAGAGTATACAGCAGTACAGTTTATAACATGACATGTTTTAAATATTTATGTTGTACTTTCCATCTTTCAGACAACTTGCCTATAATAGCCTTACAGACAAACATTTGGCAGGATATTTCAACAATACTCGAATACGGAGGCACCTTCAGAAAGCAGGACTTGTATGTACAAAATTGTCATCATTGTTTATTATTTTCTTTTGTATATATATATATTGTGCTAGATCTCCACTTCATCTCCACAAAAGGTTCCTCCTCTAGCCCCTGCACTGTTTCATCCAGTGTTCCTCAGGGCTCTGTCCTTGGTCCCCTCCTCTTCAATATCTATATATTCCCTCTTGGTGACATCATCCACAGATATGGGGTCAACTTTTACATGTATGCGGATGACACCCAACTCTACCTCTCTGCCTCCACCCTTGACTCCAGGACCACTGCTGTCCTGACAGAATGTCTGTCAGACATCGTCCTGGATGAGGGCAAACTTTCCACAGTTGAACGTCAACAAGACTGAGGCCCTCCTGACTGGCTCCTGTCAGCGCCTCCACACCTCAGGCGCTGACAGCATCACCATCCAAGGATGTATACTCCACCTCACTGAGTCAGTCCGGAACCTTGGTGTCTTGTTTGATCCTCAACTATCCTTTCTACCCCATACCCATGGCATGTCCCAATCTGTCTTCCCCCACCTCCGCAACATCGCCCGACTCTGCCACTGTCTCGCACCGCAGGCCACCGAATCCCTCATACACGCATTCATAACATCTAGGCTTGACTATGGAAACTCTCTGCTTTTTGGCCTCCCCAACTCCTCCCTCCATAGGCTGCAGATCATCCAGAACTCTGCAGCCCGTGTCCTCTCCCACATCAGGCTCCGTGACCCCATCAACCCCATCCTCACCCGACTCCACTGGCTTCCCATCACACAGAGGATACAGTTCAAGATCTTAGTCCTCACCTTCAAAGCCCTTCGTGGTCTTGCTCCCCACTACCTTTGCGACCTGCTGAGTGAGCTGCGGTCTGCTTCAGGTCCCCTGCCTCACCCGCCCCACCATTGGCAGGCAGGCCTTCTCTGCCCCCATCCTCTGGAACTCCATCCCGCAGGCCCACCGCCTCTCCCTCTCCCTTGCCTCCTTCAAGACCCACCTCAAGGCCCTACTCTTCAACTGTGCTTTCGATCACCCTGCTTCTCCTCTGCCCTCCACCCTCCCTGATCCCGACCCTCAGTTCGGAACCCAAACACTGATTGTCCTGCTCCTTGGGACGTCCACCCGATGTTATGGACTCTACACAAATGTAAAAAAGTCAGGAATGAGTAAAGGCCACTTGTGTTACTGAAGCTCATCCCTCCTGTATAATAACTCTCTGATCAAGCATTCTGAATAACCCCAAGACTTTTGACTCTGTTAAATTACTTGGTTGATTGTTCCATTCTTTGAATTTTTTATGATCTCTTGGTTTTGCTTTTCATGATTTTTTGAATAACAGCACTCATATCATTCTCCATAAAGGGCACTATAAAATGCAAACTGTTCTTCCTAAATATATTTTTTATAGGTTTCCTTTTATATCCTCTTGTCCTACCTTTTTGGTTTATATTATTTATACTATTAAATATTTTTATTAAGTATTCCTATTAAATATTAAATATACTTGTGATGATGTCTTCATTAATTGCTTTCTTTGTAGATTGTAATATTTAAATTGCACTCATCCTTTTACACTTTGGCCCATACGTTCTTGTTCCTGTACCTTTTCAAATGCACTGTTGGTGGCACGATGTTCAAGACTAATCTAATAGCCTGTGTGATTTTGCTGTTGAACACAGATCACAAGAAGTGGAAGAATTGTCTCAGAAAAGGAATACCGTCTGAACATAGTTAGAAAAGATCACCATAAATATGTCCGGGAATGCCTGGCACAAGCGATATTTCATAAAGTGCTTGACATGGAGGTATGATAAACTCCTTTTTCCTAAAGTTTGTTGCTTTAGCAATGTTGACAACCAGATTGATTTCAAGTTTTAAATATATGTTTAATGTGTTAGTTATGCAGTACATTTCTTGCCGGTCTCCCCAGCTCCACTATTCAAAGATCCAGCTCATTCAGAATTCTGCCGCCCGCCTACTTACCCGGATCAAACTCTGTACCCACATCTCACCAGTTCTGGCCAGGCTCCACTGGATCCCCATCATCGAATGGATCAACGTCAAGATCCTCACATTTGTGTTCAAATCCTTTCATTCTCTGGCATCTCCCTAACTCTCCGACCTCCTCACGCCCCAATCCACCACCCGGCTCCTCCGCTCGACTGGCACCGGCCTCCTGCTCATCCCTCGCAGCCCCACAATTAGAGGTCGCACTTTCAGCCACTACGCCCCGAAACTCTGGAGCACTCTCCCTCAATCCCTCCACCTTGCCCCCTCTCTCCCCTTTTTGAAGTACTGCCTGAAAACCTTCCTCTTCGACTGTGCTTATGGCCCCCTCCATCCCACCCCACCCCCGGCTCGGAGTCAGGCTTCGCCACTGTTAAGCGTTCTGAGATGCTACCCTGAGTGGAGGGCGCTATATAAGTGCAAGTTGTTGTGGTTATTTTGTTTGTGCTTCTGTTGTTTGTATTGAAGTTTTTTGAAAAGAAAATATAATTTACTTCATAAAGCCTATGGTATCTCATGAAATTGTATGCTGATGTGTGACTGACCAGAATCCTTCTGCCAACTATAATTACTTATTTTTTCTACAATATCCTAGCGTCATCATCAGATAGAAATCAAAAAACAATTGGAAGATTTTGCCAGAAGAGAGCGTGTCCAAAGGATCAAGGTTTTCTCTCTCAGTTGTTTATTTTCTTTGTTTCTTTTAAACACGGGCTCAGTTTTAATTACCAGGCTTAGAGTATTTTAGAATTAAAATCTTTAACCTTAACATGAATTGTTGTCTTTCTGAAAAAGGTGGAGCGTGCACGAAGATCTGATGAAGATTTTGTTCCTTTTCTCTCGCCACATCCCCCAACTACTCCCCGGATTGGCCACAGGATTCGTCATGGCCCAGATGTGGAACAGTCTGATTCCTCAACATCTGTAAGTATGTTCAATGGTACACTTGTTCAATGCTTCAGAAAGCTGAAAGTAACTCAATTTGGTGTAGTAAAATATATTTATTTTTAATCTTTGAAATGATCAGAGCAGTTAAAGGCCGCAAGTGGACTTCAATAGCTTTAATGAATTTCCCAACAATTTCAATCAGATAAAAGGTAGCAATGGAAAACGGAATGAATGCTGGAAATTAATCAATATCTGACAGAGAAAGACAGTTAATACTGTCTAGTATTTTGGGTTTGAGCCCTTATGAGAACTTCTTTACTTTTTGTGTATTTTTTTTGAATAGAAATGAAATACAGCACCTAAAATCTTATCCTTAGCATGTGAATCTGCCGACACTTACAACNAAAAAAACTGTTTTGTTTGATTTAAATGACTAATTATAGGAAAATGCTGCCATTGTGCATAACTTTGTTACTGATAACACGACTAAGGTTCCACGCTTTTAATTTGGGCTTGCTCTTAATCAACTTGCATAATAGACACTCGTGAAAAGCATAAAATATTTAACTCCTTCAAATGATTGTTACCTGATCTCCTTATAGACACTAGGCAAAACACTGCACAGAATCAGTTTGTGCTGGAGAATAATTTGTCACGGTTTGTGCTTAGCTTCACTAAAATGAGTATTTTCTGGGCAGGCTACCCTGTTTTGCCAGCAAGTCAACAGCATACAAACCAATGTTTAAAAATCATCAATAATATGTTTGTGTGTTAGTTTGCATACCTACTGACAGAGGCCACATTTAAGGAAATTGAGAATGTACTGCTAACAGATATTTGTTATTTTTGGTTAAAAATTGAGATATTTTTAAAAAAATTATTCATTGTTAATAAAATTCATATTTTAGTTTCTTTTTAATGATATTTTCTATATGACTATTGATATTTACATTGTAGGTAAACATTGCTATATTTGTGAGTCTATTTTCTCTGGTCCACAGGGAGTCTTTATGCTACAGTTTTGAAAGGAGGAATACATGTACATTCCCTTATGTACAGCCTCAATAAAAACATGTTCCAACAGGTCTCTCTGACGAGGATAAGCAAAAAAAAGGGTCACCGTGGTTACTTTGTTTGCTGGTTACATTCAGCAAAACATTTAAACCTTTCTTAGAAATCAATCTTCTTTTTCCAAAGCTGAAATTGATTCATAACTAGTTATTAAACTAATCGGGTTCTTAAAGCATGCAGTAGTTCTTTTTGTGCATACCTTTTTAAAAAGCATTGTACAGTATTCAAAATTCAAATGTAAATGTTACAACGTTTCTCATTGTGCATTCATTCATTCATCATCAAAGCTGCTTCATCAGTTCTTAAGTTTATTGTTCACATGAGACGTATGCTATTTGAACTCTTGAGAGATGTCCGGGGGGAAGCTTAGTAATGAGCCTTTGGCAATACGATGATTAATTAAATTAGTCAGATCTCACTCTTGATTAAATGCCTCTTTCTAATTTCAGCCTACATCCCCACGACCAAACACAGCACCAGGAACAATGCAGCGCCCAGTTCGATTGCAACCTGTTCGGAGCAATGGACCAGGGGTGTTCATGGCAAGATCACCATCAGGGGTGCGGCAAAAGGAACAGCACTTGGAAATGATTGATGAAATAGATCCTCATTATTTTTATGCGGTTAGCTATTATTTAATATTTTTCTTGGATGTTTCATATTCTTATGGATTGAAAGTGTAGCAGTATTGTATTCTACAGGATATAGTTACGTTCCATAAAGATTATTAGCTGTTATAATAAAAAAGTTATTTATTTTACAGAATAGTATTAACCACTTTTAGTAGCAATATAATAACACCCTTTATTACCTGATCATACAGTTATGATTATTTTCTACTTTAAAATAAATAAAATACTTTCATTTACTAAATATTTAGGTACTGTATTTATCACTGACTAACTAACAACTCTGGATGTATCGATAATTTGGGGATTACTTTACTTGTTAACTAGAATAATACCTACACCTCAAAACTTGAGTTTATAACTGTAATGTGAACATATGAGAAAAAAAATCTTGGTCTGGTTAACAATGATGAACTAAGGAAACAAAATACCATTATATAGAACAAGTATCATCAGCTGCAATGATGATTTTTAAACTTTGACCTATCTTTCCATATTGCAATATGTGGAGTTGAATTACCACTTTTCATTTGGATATTTATATGGAAATCTACAAATGATATAGAAAATAGTGATGATAAATCATATTAATGTCGGGAGGCTGTGATGTTCTCAACAGGAGTGAGGGGAGTGTATCATAGAAAAAATAAGATAACAAAACATCAAATGTATGCTTCCTTACAATTTCATTCTTTGAGATGTACCAGATTTGGGTCACAAATTGATATGAATGTAAAAGAATCACCTGCAAAAGTCATTTTTTCTAGATGAACTTGCTTGTAATTGGAATATTAGTTCTTTTTGCCAAACACAGCCTCTTATGATGTCATATGACTCAGGAATCAAGATTGAATTTGAGTTCAATTGATTCAAATATGGGTCTCTGTTAAATGTATGTGAATCCTGCTTGTGATCCACTTCCTTTTACCAATGCTTGCTACTAATGAATGACGTGGCATTCTCTTTTAGCTGGACAGGGAAGCAATAAAAAATTGGACCACAGCTAATTATACCACTGGAATTTCTCCATATCGCCTACCAGTGATACCAGTGATCAATAACTACGTGACTCCAGTCCCACCACCACCAAGAAAACGTCAAAAGAATTTGAAGGGAATGACAAATGCAGGTGCAAGAATCAGAAGATTACGTCCCACGACTGCTCCCAATGGTTTTGAGGACGTTGAACCAAAGGTAGGATTAGTTAGATTGACCCTGTAGCTCTGGCTGTTCGAATCTATTCTATATCATTACACTGTCCTTTTTCAGGAGGCCCCTAGATTTCACCGAACTGCAATACACAGCAATGTACTCATCACTATGATATACTTTGGGAAGAGCTTGCATCTTTCTTATGACCGTGATGACTTAAGAGAGGAAGTGAAGGTCTATCAGCAGCACTGTGGTGGAGAAAACCTTTGTGTGTTCAAAGGAAAGTTACTGGAAGGAGGTTGGTGTCAAAAATCATCACATTGCATTCATTCTTAGGACATAAATAATCAAAAATATTAAAACATTTGCTTAGTCTTATTTTGGCACTTAATTTTCTATATCATGGTTTCTTTAACTTTCCTGTCCATGAAATGCCTGGCTGAAAGGCAACCTACTGCCAAGCTTCTGTATTACCACTTATTTCACCTAGTAAGAGAGTAGGAGTGACATGGACTGACTTGCTATCTGGACTGACAGCACCAATGCTTGATTGCCTGAATGACTTCCTTCTGTGCTGTGATTTCTATGAGTTTATTTTTTGTTTGCTGAACATGATAGCGTTGTCATATTGCACCCCACACTGCCCCCTCCTGACTCCCGAATTTACAAAATGCCAAAGGAACTCAGCAGGTATGCTGCCTTACATAGGAATTTCTTGTGGCTTATGCATTTTAGCAGGCTAATAGATTTTTGGGGGGAGGTGCGGATGGACCACTAAAATGTTGTTTGCTTAAAGAAAAAGGTCCCTTGTCCACGCTGATGTATCAATGTATCAGTTACTTCTCTTGAATTCAGTACACTTTTTCTAAATGTTTACTTTGTTTTTACTGTATCTTAACCTTTCTCTTCTGTACTACGAATCATTTTTCCATTCCTTTTCTATGAAATGCCTCAGAGCTGCTGGTAAATGGTCAATTCCCAATACATGATATTCCTCTGTGTAAGCAGATTTCGTGGTATTCATATGCACCTAAACAACTGGAATTGATCGTTGTTTTATGATTTCAGAAAAATTTCAATTCATCTCAAAACGACACCGTGGTTTCCCCTTCAGCCTCACGTTCTTCATGTACGGCATGCAGGTAGATAGATTGAGTTCCTGCTGTGAACATAAACATCGTAGAGGCTCCAGACTCGGGGGCAAACATGGACACTTTGGATTTGTCAACGTGGATGGGGCATCTCCATGTTACAAGTATGGGAATTTTGTCCATTTAATACTTCACTTTATTACAAAATTTCCTTTCTTGTATTGCTTATCATGATTTGTTTTGTGTTAAGATATAGCGTTTCACTCAAATCAATTGCAGATTTTTTGTTAATCTTGTTTTCCCTCTTGCCCTGAATTGTTTTGAGCCACACATCAAATGGGGGCTGAGGGGGCCGGTTAGCCTCTGCCAATGCTTTCCTGACTCAGCCACTAAGAGGAGTATGGGGGCAACGTGAGATTATTCTTCATCTGATTTTTCTCTTTACTGTGAAAGCGACTGATCTCTTCTTGATACTGCGTCACAAAAATGTGGCCAGATGTCAGAGCTATGGAAAATGGTGAATGTTAGAGCACCAAATATATCGTGGCACTCCAATGGCTTCCACTTGCATATTATGTCTTCATCAACCTAAAATAATGGTGCCACAAATTGTTGTTGACCTTGTGTGAGTATTTCCATGCATCAAAGACACAGACCGAAAGACAGCTGGTGTAAGTATTGACAGCTGCTGTTGGTTTAGAATTACAAGTAAAAAGCCTCACATGCAACTGAAAGGCCCAAAATATTGTAACTAACCAGCCCCAGACAGTGACTTCAAGGTTATAATCTCACTTTAAGGTTCAAATGGTGGTTGTGGAGCATAAGAGATTTATGACATCATCTGCCTGCTTTGATTAGATTCCTTCCTTTAAATTAATTGCAGGTATTCATTATTCTGGGTTGAATGCAGTTAATTCAATTGGTGAGAACCACCGAAAAAGCCTGTCATAGTGAAGGGCATATTACACTATGTGTACATAGTTTATTGTTTGCTAAGTGAGCCATAAAAATGTGTACCTGGGGAAGTGTATAACACAATGCAAATGCATTTAAAATTATAGTTTTCCATTTTATATTGCAATTTTACATTATATTTTCATTCATTTATAATCTGTAACTAGGTGTATTATTGCTATGGGTTTGGATAAGAAACCCACACCACCACCTAAAAGAATGAAGCAAGAGGAAGAGGAGCCAGAAAAGCAAGTGGTAGAATCATCGAACAACGAAGAAGAGCTAGCTGAAGAGAAATTGCCAGATGGAGCTGAAAAAGAAGCAATGTCCGATGATTCTTCGAGTGCTGGGGATAAAGTGAGCGGAGAGGTGAAAATGGAAATTGAACCTGCAGTTGATGCCCAAGATGAAAGATCCAAGCAAGGTAATATGCACACAAACATGCACATACAATTGATAATCACATTTTTAACACATGACACTGCTTCACATTTTCACAAATGGAAAAGATTTTCGAACTCGCTTATGCTAGCAAGTAGACCGCACTTTGGCCTCCTGAATTCATAACACTTAAACGTTTTGCAACCATTACTGAAGAATTATACATTATACATCAGGATACAATTAGAAGAAATTAAATTACGGCTTTGAGTTCCAGGCCAATTTTCTGCTCTATGCATTTCTTTCTAAATTCTTAGCGTGATATGAAGGTAGTTATCTTATGGGATTTATTGTAAATGAGGACAGAAATCCCAAGCGTAACAAACTACTGAGCCTCATACTAATTAGATTATTGCCTTGAAATCCCCCAAGTGCTGTTGTTATTTGATTTAATTTTCTCAGGTGTTTTTGCACTGGTGGTGGCTGGCAGGGTGGGAGGTGACCACCAGCTTACTCACTCTCATTGATGATTATGAATTAAATACTTTATGAATTAGGTAAGGAGAGAGGATCCCTCCAGGGAGAGAGTACACATTCCATTCCAGACACAGGGAACTTTCCATGTGTAGGCTCCGTGCACATGTGCAATTCTTTCTGGTTTGGATCCTCTTTAAGTATGGTTATGGACACATGAGTTTCTGCATGTGTTAGACACCTGGCTGATCCAAAAGAAAATGAGTATGAGCAAGAAATAATTTTGAGTTATTTATGGAAATGCCATTGCCAGTATATATGATTGTGTTTTACATTGCACAGTTATCACGAGTTACTACCATGTGTTTTTGCATCCAAATCTGAATCTGGCTGATTGATGAGATAAATGCTTCCTTTCTCTGCTGCAATAAGAGCCCTATGTGAAATGAGTAACTGCATCTTATCTCAACCCATTGTACTACAACACAAAATTGTTTATAATTTGTATTATTTTGGAAATTTAAAAGTTTGCATGAGGCTTGCTTTTTTGTTGCTCGGATGAATATGAACTGTTGAGGAAACAATAAAGGGATCCCATTAGTGTCCCGTTTGTTTCAATCCAGCACTGTAATAAGCACAGAAAGTTGCTAAAACATAATGGCTTTAAAAAAATAATCTGTGATTAACAAATACACTCGGCTGCCTTTAGGGTGAATTTCCATTAGCAAAGTCATCAACTGTACAATAAAAGCAAAATTCTACCTGGATATTTTCTACAAAGCTGATTAGAATAATGAAATACATTAGAACAATTTGGTATTAAACATTGCTTGAAAACCTAAGTTTTGTAAATATGAATTGCTCACAGAATACGATGATGACTTTGAAGAAGATGAAGAAATATTAAAAGAGACAGGTGGACAAAAAGAAGAGGGGTTAGAAATCAGTGAACACAATCAAGAAAACTCAATAGGATCACAAGGTGATGACAGAATTGATGCTGGAAAAAAGAGTGCCAAGCTGATGGGCAAAGAAAAAGAGAAAGCAGATGGTGAGGAGGATGGCAGATCAAGTTACACTGATAGTGAACTTGAAGGTGAAGATTAACATATTTTTTCTTTTGCTGTTGAAATATTGTTCTAATTTTTCTCTGATTATTTAAATAATAAAGTTGTTTAGCCTTTTATTTGTGTACATAACATTTGACTACATTTCCAATGACAAATGAGAGGAAACCTGATCTTGGAACTTAACTATTCTTTGAGAAATGGATCATATAAATATAAGGAAGCAATTTAACTTGCGAACAAAAGTGTCAAATCAACAACCCTCCGGCGAGACTTTAAACATTAAAATGAAGAGTAGTGAATATGTCAAATAGACAAAGCGCAATGCTAATTCACTGTCTCAAAAGTAAAAGGATAAATACAAATAGATAATATCGCATGGTTCTTGAAGTATTAAGACTTTATTGCTTCATGTCAAAAGAAAATTGTCAATGATTTTTAATACCAAACTTTAAATTAGATTTAGAACTTGTATTTTACAGGGCCTTATCAAATTGAAACCTCTCAAAGTGCTTTATAAGTAGTTACTGACAAATTTAGTGACGGTTTTTGTGTATCTATCAAAACTCATCTACGATATTTGCATTTTTGGCTAAACTATTTGCCAGATAACACTATTCAGTGAAGTGTTCCATCGATCCACCATCCTTTTCTTATATGTATCATTTAGTGAAACCACTGCAGACCTTTGAGTTGAAATTATCCTGATCATTAAAACCTTCTTTTTCATAGGTTGGATGTATTCAGTGTTCAGAGATGAAAATCTACTGAGGCAGATTATGTTTGTACAAATTCAAATAAATGTTCTATCCAAAAGTTATTCAAATTAAATGCAAAATCTTACTTTTCAGATTTTGACCAGAGTCCAAAATAAAGTATTGAAATAGTAATGACATTGATGCGTGTGGAGCACACTCCCAATAAACAAATCCTACTTGCTTTACTATTTTTTCTGATAGTTAATTATTTTCTACAGAGAAGGTAGTTGAGCAACATCAGTTACTAAAGCAACACCTTGTACATTGGATCAAAGAAAGCATGCTAATTTCCTTTGAATATGGAGCAGAGAATTAGAATTAGTTTGAGCCCACTCCCCAGAGTCACGTACATGTTCTGCATCAATCTTAACTACTAGAAATGCAACCAGTGCAGGAGACCTTTCTTTTGATCAACGGAACTGTCAGCAGCCACTTCTAGTTTATTTTCCAATTGATAGTTCACCTTGGAGGGCATTCTCTCAGTGGTTAGAACACTCGCCTCGCAAGTGAGACACCTGGGTTCGATTCCCGGCAGGATGAAATCTTGTGCAAGTTTGCTTACTCTACACGCCTGATAATAATCCCTCAAGAAAACAAATAACAATTTGGGCACTCAATCAACGACTGTTTGTGGAACACTACTGTGCGCAATTGGCTGCCACGTTTCGCCCACAAAATATACAGTCAATTCACTTTACAGTATATTCTGTGAAGCGCTTTGAGACATCTAGAAGACGTGGAAAGCACTATATCAAATGCAAGGATTTTTATTATTATTATTGTTGTTACTCTTTGTGAGAACATGCAGAACAAATCTGTGTCCACTCACCCATCCAGGCTAATACTCTCCAGGGTGCAATTTGTTTAAACCTAAGTACTTTATAGATGACCCAGATAGTAACCAACAATAAAGCTGCATTTTATTATCATAATAATGATACCCTTGTATTTGGTACAGCACCTTATCACGTTGTCAAGACGTTCAAAGCACTTCATAGGTTTTACTGTGAGCTGTAGTGACTATGTATTTGCAGGCAAATTTAGCAGCTAATTTCGCCCACAAAATATACAATCACTACACTTTACAGTATATTCTGTGAAGCGCTTTGAGTGATCAGATGCTATATCAAATCCAAGGATTGTTATTATTATCCTCTTTGTGAGAGGTTAATGATTCATGAGTATAATTGTATTGTGGAATACTGCAAGAGTTTGATGCTTCTAAGAAACTTGATTTGCATTTACTTCACAGAGGGAAGGAAGTCATGCATGTCATCACAAAGTCCAACTTACTCGTTAAGCAGCAGTGAGTCTGACAGTAAGAGAGAGGAGGAAAAGATCAAGGTAGAAGAAGGACAAAGTATGTCTAGTGGTGGGGAGCAAACAGAGTCCATAAATTATGCTGTAGAGATAGAGGAACAGGCAAATATTGAGAGAGACAGTCATGACCTCAAAGAAACAAATGATGAAAAACCAGTAGAAGAAAAAGAAGATGAAAAACTAAAGGAAGAAAATGGAATTGCTGAAGAAGTAGATGGTGTTGAACCAGTCACTGAAGAATTGGTACGGAAGGAGATGTTTGCCTTGGTAAGTGCTGAGGACACAAAAGAAAAACATGAGAAGTCTAAAGAAGTTGATTCTATGGAGAAAGCTGACAGCTTTAAGGATAATGCGTATAACGAAGAAATTAAAGTTATAGAAGAATCACCTGATTTGAAGGGTAAAAAATCTGAATATGAAGAATGTATAAATGAAGAGAAGAGTGTCTGTGATGAACAATCTGAATCTGGACACTTCAGTGGTGGTGAGTACAATAGGTTTCCAGATCCATGCTTAGCCTCATGCATGTGACTTCAGCTTTCAGTTCCCTTCTTGCTGCAAGATTGAATAAAACTGCATTTCCTACTTGCATGATAAAATGCAATTGTTGCAATGTGCCAATTATAGCAGTGCCTGCATGGCATGTTGCATCTTCTGTGCGTGTACAAATGACAAAGAAACTGATCAATTGTGTTTGCCAAAATGAGTTGATTGCAACTAATTGTTTTGCTTAACTTTTCAATGTTATATGTGTTTGAGACTGTGGCGAATCTTATTAAGTGGGTATTTGTGGTACAGATACAAAATCTGCATTTTCAATTGAAGTTCAGGTCAGAATCTGACCTTAATACATTTCCCGAGCAGAAATACATATAATTCTAACTATTGGGTATTAAAAAATATTGTGACCTCATCAAAAGTACATTATAAGCAACAATTTTGCAGAGTAGAAACCTACAGAAGCTTTACAGTGGAAATCATCTTATTGAAAATTATAATAATCCTTGCATTTGAGGAATGATGATTGAGAATGTAGAAGTCAGATTTGTTAGAGAATTAATTGATCCCAGGAGAAACCAAGACTTAAATCTAAATGAGAATATGGGACACTGTGTTAAACAATCTGACTTTAGAGATTGTTCAAACATCTCTTGTTGAACGTTTGGATAACAAATAATGCCATTCAATGTTGGCATCATTCTTGCTCAAATGTTCAACTTAATTATTGTCTGAAAGAACGGTACATTAGAATTCATAGTACAATTCAGGCACTTGGCACAATACAAGTGATAGTTTCCATTAGTTCTTATCCAGGTCCCACTAATGTAACCATTGTGTTCTGAGTTTTTATTTTTAAATTGCATTGGATGCAAAGATAATTTCTTACACGATAGATGCATGAGAGTGTATCACAGCTGTATTACATTCTGTAGATAAAGTAGGCCATTTGCCTTTTGTATTTTTTGACAATTTTGTTTTACTGTATTATTATAATCATTGTGTATTAAAGATTTGTTTTCTGTCCTTATTTTTAAATCTTGTAACAAAAACAGAAAACTAAAACTCATTGTACAATATACACTATTTTGGTATGTTTACACTCTGTTTTCATTCTTTTGTTTTGCACAATTGTGATTTTTTACTGCCTAATTCAGTTTAATTATACCTTCATATTTGATGACCACTTTGTTGCATTAGAGCCTTACTCTGTCATACTAATAAGTTATATTATAAGAAGCAAACTGCAGACATTGAAATAAAACTAAAGCTATCATTAATGTACCAACAAAAGTACAACTGTGTAAAAGATAAATGTGATTGTATCCGCTTGTGTTGAAATTTAGATGATGCAGATTATGGATAGAATTTCCACTTCATTTATAGCCAGTGATAGAAATACCCTCTTTAACGAAGATAAATGTAGAGATGTATTTTCAGTGCGAAGTATTTCCTCCATCTAGTTTAGGTAAATCTAGCTTCCCTAAACTAGATTTGCCTAAACTCCATCTAGTTTCCTACTGTTCCAGAATTTAGATTAAAGATAAAGTTTCCCGTAGAGCGAGCATTTCAGATTTATCACAGAGCTGCTCTGCTGATGCCAGTGGTAGGAAACTGCTTTGTGGAATCCCGTGGTGAATTGACATTCTTTTCCACACTCAATCACCAAGGGAAACTGAACCATGAAACTTCAATAGCAACTGAGCACACGGCAGTTGTCAAATGCAAGAATTGATTTAGGCAGTAGGGATTTTATAGTCCCTGAGAATGCGTTTAAGTATCTAATTTTTCCTACAAGGTAAACAATTTTAAAACAAGCTAACCAATTAGGCCTCACTGAAAGTAGTTCCTCTCACCATACCTTCTCCTTCAATTTAGTTTTTCTTGTACGTTTTTTATAAATGTATATAAAAAATATTAGCCGATTCTTGCCTCAGAATTTGTGTAGTTTTCTAAAGGCATATAAAATGGGCATTTGAGTTGCTGATGATTTTGTTATTGATGCATGTGAGTTTCATTGCATGCCTGCATGCTCTGTATTTTTTGATTTCTTTGAATTGTTGATGTAAATTACTTTCTTCAGTGTGCTTTTTGCATAAGTCATGTGATGTTTCGAATGAAGTGCCATAAAGGTATGCTTTTTCATTTCAATTTAACAACTGCCAATAAATAAATGCTGCAGCTTCAAATCTTTATTTTTGTCTCATTGCAGTTTTTAGTTTCAAATCCCCTTATTTAATTCTGAGCAATATATATCGTAATACCAATGATTTTCCTGTTTGCGGTTGTTTTCTACTTTGGTATTACAGAAGAGCACAAGTCTGTGCAAGAGAAAATCGCAGATGCCATCAAGAAAGATGAACGTTGCAATTCTGAGCCAGAACCTAGTGATTCAAGCACAGAAGAAGAAGATGATCTGCTAAATGCAGTTGCTGAAAAACTATCTGAACAAAGATGTGACAGTAAGCAACAATTCCATGCAGTGTATTCTAGATATTGCTTCTTTATTTTTCAAACAACTTGACTCAACCAAGGTTACCAATTTTTAACCCATTTTTGGACAGCTTTTATGCTGTAAACTGGGTTGAGACTGCTTGAACACATTTGACTTACAGCTGTTATGAAGCCTTACATCTGCTCAGTGGTACCTGTTTTCAAACTTGAGCTCCGGAGGTGAAAGTCCAGTGTTCCGACTGACTGTGGCACCCGTTCTATTTCACCGTTTAATTTCAATTGATGTGACTCATAAATTCAGTAACGACATTATGATTGCTGGAAATAATTTCTATTTTTTCAGAGTACGGATGGCTCTGAATCTTTCAGATAAACTTTATATAGGCATATGTCAACTATTTTCATTTTTAAACATGGTTAATAAGAATAATATGTTAGATGATTAATTCCTAGTGGCTGCATCTTGTATTGATAAGCTGTAAAAATTCAAAATAAGCTTTTGTTGTTATTGCTTAGGTTTGAGTTGTTGCTTATAATTGCTATGATTGTTTCAGGTCAGAGGGAAGAAATAGCAGCAATCACAGCTGCACAGGAACAAGGAGAGGTAGCAAGAGAGTTAAATCTGTTGGAAGAAATCACAGTCGCATCTGCAGTACCATTATCAAATGAACATATAAAGTCACTGGAAACCATAGCAACCCTGGAAGATGAAAGTTTAACAGATCATATTCAAATTTCTGGACAAGAGGTTGAAGACACTCAAACTGGAACAATCTCAGCAAAGGCCACTGCTCTCGGGGTTGAAGAGACCTCTGTAAAAGAACAAGAGGATGCAAATCTGATTGCAGCTACTGAAGAAATAGCAAAGAATCCCAAAGAGTTTATATCTGCCGATGGTGAGGACATTTGTTTGAAAGAGCTGGAACCTGAGAATGAAAAAACGCTGCCTGACGAACCCGCTCAAATAGAACAACAAACAGAAGGAGAGAAAGAGGTGGAAGTGGAACAAGATGTCGGACAATGCAACAGTGGAAAAGGTACCAGGGTAGAAAGTATGAACACTCCAGATCAAGATCAAAATGTGCCCAGTGCAGATGTAGATACAGAATCTTTGAAGGCTGACGTTTCAAGACTACAGGATGAAAATCCTGTTAAATTTCCAAATGTTTTACTGTCTCAAACTGTTGCAGAACCCAGCAGCACAGAGATTGATCCTGAGGATGAAAAAACGCTGCCTGAAGAACCAGCTCAGATAGAGCAACCAACTGAGGAAGGGAAAAAAGTGGAAGTAGAAATTGAAACAAAACCACCTAACAGAGAAACAGTTGTTAATATTCGATGTACACCTGAGAATGATGTACCACTTGTCTTGGAAACAACCATGACACCATCTGAGGTGGAGGCAAAAACTGTGGAAATCTTAGCATCGGGTCCCGATGCAGATGTGGTTAGGGATACAAAATATAATGAATATTCGAGGATAAAATTAATTAAACCTGCAGTTATATATTCTTTACCCAACGTCAGCACAACAGAAGAAGAATCTGTTTCAGAACCCGAGACACTGATGATAAAGAATGAATTTATGGAATACGCAGACCAACTGGTGTCATCTTGCAGTCAGTATGTCACTAGTGAAAATCAATATGTGGCACTTGCTTTGATGTCAGCATTGAAATGTGAAAATAATGAAGAATTAACGAGCGTTGCTCTTGTTTCAGAGCCAGAAACTGGAGAAAGGGATACAGGCGCAACAGAAACTAACATTACTCCACAGTCATCAATAAATCAATCAAACTCCATCAGTCCAGAAGAACTTCCAAGTGTGGAAAGTAAAGCATCCACTGCGTTAACATCAATAGAGCTGCAGAGTGAGACAAATGCTGATGATCTATTTCATATTAAAGGTATAAATGAGGGAGATGCCAAGGAATTGCAAGTCAGGACGTTTACAGCAGAATCCGTTTCAAAACCTAACCAAGATGTAAACGAATCAACTGAGAAACCTTCAGAGTCTGATCCACCACTGCAGATGTCGGCAGCGGATTGCAGTGAGTCTGAAGAGGATGGTGGCACACTGGAAAAAGAACTCAAACCAGTGGAGGTTTCTGAGGAAGAGCAAAGAATGGATTTTTCACAAGTTGATGGTTACCAAGAAATGAACAGAGATGATAATAGAATAGCTGCCAATGATTTGGGAAAAATCAGGGATGAAACTCAAAATGAAATAAGCGCAGGAACTAGTGTAGAAGAACTATCGGGAATCGAAGAAACTGAATCGGCATTTGGATTTGAAGATGAGGAGGTTGCTGAGGAAAATTCAAAATGTCAAGCCAGTGAAATGGAGAACAGTGGAGATATTCAGGAAAAAAAAGATTCAGAACTTCAGGTTATAGAGTTTATTTCAGTGACAGAAATTCCAGTACCCAATGTAGTGTCAACAGATCAAATGGGAATTACTATGACAAGCATAGCTTCCAATGTAAAGCTTGAGTCAGGTCTGGAAACCCAAATAGCAGAAACTGATGCAGACAGCAAAGCAAAAGTCATGAAAGACCTCAATAAAGCTCCTGTGGGTCAAACCGAGGATGAATATCATTCTGAAGGGAAGAAAATTGAAGTACGTTCATATGGAAAAGCAGAGCAAATTGAGGCAGATTTAAGTCATGAAACTCAAGAACACAAAACTGAAAGAAATTCAGAATTACAAATGAAGACTGGGGTAGGTTTAGAAGCTTTTTCAGCAGATACACAAGCCTATGTATTAATTAACACTGACAAAACTGAGACATGTTCTGAGGACCATATACTGGAACATGATGCGAAAACAGTACAAGAACATGAGATTGACACAGATACACAAGGTTTTGCATTTGATACTGAATCTTACCCACCAGGACATGAAGCTGAAGTAAAATTAGAGGCACAAAAAGCTCACACATTAAATCAAATTGAGAACACTGACGCAAGATCAGAGAATCAAATTGAAGGAAGCATTGAGTTAGGCACAAACGAACAAGCAGCTAAGGGGGAGGCAGATCCAACTGACGGTGAAGATATAGCTGAGATTAAGGTTATTTCGTTGGTTAATACTGAGAGTACAGAAGTAAGATCAGAGCAACAAGATATAGCAATGGCTAAGGTAGATAGTGAACTACAGGAACATAAGTTGGAGGCAGACGTAGTTGTAGCTGAGATTGAAGTCCATACATTATATAACACTGATAATACTGAAATAATGTTAAAGAAGCAAGACAAAGCAAGCGCTGAGATAGACATAGAAGTACAAGAATATAAGATTGAGACAAATCCAGAATTTTTTGTAGCCGAGACTGATTTACAGCAATTAAATAAAGTTCAGAATACTGGAAGAAGATCAGAAGAGCAAGATGAAGGAAGAGCTGAAGCAGAAACAGAAATTTATGTTGACGTTGGGGGAACCCAAGAATCTAGAGAAGAAAAAATACAGCCAAGTTTAGAGCTACAGGCACAAGAGAATAAGCCACGGCTAGAAGCTAAAGTAGTAGAATTGGAGGTTGAAGTGGAAGCAGAGGAACAAGAAGCGATGCTATCAGAAGCTCCTGTGGTTGAGGCAGATCAAGATATTAGTCCAGATGTTGAACTTTCTGCAGTAGAGATACCAGAAATTCCTGGATCCCAAACAGACGAAACTAACGGTGATCCAGAAACTCAAACATCACGAACATTAGAAACACAACAGACAGACATTGATGCAAAGCCCACATCTTCAGCAACTAAAATTGAGATAGTTTCAGAATCTAAAGTTGAAGAAATGGAGAAAGATCCAGAGGCACAAAGCAGTAAATCAGCTGTAAAATCCCAGGGTGGAAAGACCATCGAAGAGCAAGAATTGGAAACAATGGTAGAGGTTGTCCAAGGTGACTATGCTAAGAGTGATTCAAGTTCACATTTCCCCACACTCCATGATAAGGAAAGCTTGACTGGTGCAAATGATAAGCCATTTATTCCTGTTCCAATCCCACAAGGTGAAACAAGAATCGAAGATGCAAATATAGGAGTTTCATTAGAAAAAGCCACTCTGGAAACTATAACAACAAAAACTGTTGGGTCAGAAACAAATTGTGCTGACAGTACAGAAAGTCAAACCATGATAACATTCATCAGCCCATTGGTTATCAAAGAACTAACTGAACAGGGTCCAATGTATCCTAAATCAAAAACCGAGGTGAATGCCGAGTTGGTAAAATTAATATCACTTGGAATTGAGGAGGATGCCCGTTTTTCTAGTCCAGTAATTCATCCAACAGTTAATACAGATCACCCTCCCAAACTAATGGAAGGAAACTTAAGAGGAACTGAACAACCCAATATGAGCCTCCAGTGATTTCAAAGGTATTTATTGATAATTTGATTATTGTTGGCATTTTGTTTAGATTTGAAAATATATATTTCTGCCTCATTTCCTATGGTGGGACAATTATATTTACCCTAGTAATTCAAACCCTGACAAATCTGAAGAATCTGAACCATAGATTCTCGGCCTCCAGAATTTAAACTCTAGGAAAGTGTTGATTTTCCTTTTTCAACTTCACTGTTTAATAGCTTTAAACACAACTTAATTTGAAACTATTACTCCTCATGAAATTTAAATTATTTCTAGGTGAATTGCTGCACCTTTCTCATAAAATATGTAGCATTATCATCAATTATTATTTCAACCCTTCAGTTGCTGAATGACTTCTTTGGCCATATCGCTCTACAGATTAAATATTTATTATTAGTTCATATCCAATTTTAATTCCCACATTGTTAACTATTGATCCAGTATAATATGACAGATACTCTTTCTCAGGCTGTCTTTGTCAGTGATGCAGAATGTTATATTATGTTGAGGATATTTTGTATAATTTCTCTTTTAAAGAGAGAGCAGTAAATCATTGTTACAATGGGTTTATACAATAGTGTTATAAAGAGTCACTGTAGGTTATTTTCTCATCCAAAATTTATTATGTTTATCATCAGAAATATGCACTCAGTGTAGCAACTGTTTTGTTTCTGTTAGTGTGCATGTTATCTTTTAGAGTTCTTTTTCTATTATAGGATGCTTGAACACTCCTACACAACAGGATACAAAGCATCTGAAAGAGGTATCAAAAACTAAAGAAATAATTGTAGACAATCATCTCACGACATGACATTCTGTTTGAACTGCAGTTTATTGTGCTTTTTGTTTAGTATACCTGTGCATAATTGTTTATCTTGCTACAATGGACAGAGGAACAAACAAATGTATGTTGCTTTTAGTTTTTATACCAGCTGCTGTTGAATAAATTCACTTCAGAAAGCTATTGTTTTGGATATAATCTTGTATTCTATTATGCTCTACAACATATGGATAAAACATAGTTTTACGATTATTTTACCTGAATATATAAATGTACGTATGACTTGGAAGATAAATTATAAATCAATTTTATTTCCAATTTTTCCCTATTCTTAGCCTTAACTGTGATATTTTAAGCTTTTAATATTCTACTGGGTCCAATATGCAACAATTTCTAATGTGACTCCTTAATTAGAAATCTGAGTGACGAGTCCTTCTTGTAATTGGAAGTAGAGCACACCGACCTGCAAGAATGCCACTCCAAATGTATTTAGTGTCAGAGGAGTTCCTGCTGGCCAGCATTATGTGCTTCCTATCAACAAATCCTATGAGAAATCCAAGCTTGTTAGATTCGATTCTATCTTTAACTTGGTGATATTTTTGCAATTATGCGATATAGAAGAAGATGGTAATTGATTGATGAATTTTTTGTACTGAATGTACATATGGATTAAAGTAAACTTTTCTGCTATTACTTCATGAAGCTACAATACAAGATTGACCCATTGCAATCAATATTCATATAAATTGAACAGAATTTTTTTTGCTAGCTTCCACTGTCTCCTTGTCTCCCACTGGACCAAATTCAAACTGCTCACCCTCGCTTATAAATCCTTTCATGCCCTTGCACCTTTCTATCTCTGTGATTTTCTCCACCTCCACTCCTCTGCTTCCCCCTGACCCACCTCCCTCACACTCTCCCTCACTCTCTCTGCAACACTATCAGTGGCCAACCCTTCATCTCTTAACCTCTCCAACTCCCACTCTCTCATCTCTTCATCTCATCTGCTCTATATGTCTTTACAGCTCACCTAAAAACCTATCTCTTCAATGGCACCCATGGTCATATCCTTTCCCCCTCTCTATTCTCCCTTGCTCGTGATCTGACCCTGTCATTGTGAAGTGCTGCGAGATTATCATACATGAAGGGCACTATATAAATGTTAGTTGTTGTGATTATTGTTTTCTGCCCTGTAACCTGGAAGTTTGAAGCTTCCCATCACTGAAATATTTGCACTGCTTGGCACTTTGTCCATAATGAACTGTTGGAAGAGAGCAATTCGTATGGCCTTGATATTACAGTTGTATTTTTACAATATGTTCATAAAAGAAAGATGACAAACCTATATTTTACTCCTCCATTTTAAGCTAAGGGATCGGTCAGATCGAAAATACTGTATTAATGAGAATACGCCAAAATAACTAATTGGCCTGCACATTTGCTCTACTGAATCATTAGTCAGATGTAGTTTTAATTATCATGCACTAAGCATTTTTGCACTAAGCTGTTTTTCAGTCTAACAGCAATTCTAGTTATAGTCATAATTTAGTGCTATCTATGTCTATGAAATATAAATTGCACAAGCTGAATACTGTAGTTAGATGTTATGTTTCAATTCTCTGTGATACCTTGACCAGAGCTCAAATATCTTTTTTTGAGTCTTGCTTTGTTACGCATTGCACTGGCTGATTGAAATTTTCCTTTCAACACACTGGAGGGCACACTTGAGTTTTGCTTTACACGATTGTTCCAATTTTATCTTTAAATGAGCTGGCTATAAAATGGAACATCAATACAGTGTTACGATTATGCTAAATCACTGACAAGGAGATAAAAATATTTAGAACCAGAAAAGACCATTGCAGTCCATCAGGTCGACCCCAAGGATTACAACTTTGATGTTTAATTCTAAACTTGTGCTACAAAAAAGGTTTTTAATATTTGTAAAATGCATCTATCATTCCAGTATTCCATTTAGCATTTGCTAACTATATTAAAAAATACAAATCATGAAGCTGGATTCCCCTTTAAATGTGACAGCGTGATCTGTGTAAAGTCTCAGAACTGACAGCAAAATCTGTCCTGCAACACATTTGTTTCAACAATAACACTTTAATGCATTATGCACATTAAGTAAATGTAATATAGTTTGTGCTGAAAGTAATACCCTTACAAGGTAAAATCATAAATTATTTGCTTGTGGATGTTGAAGAAGTTAATTAAATGGATTTATTAGCAATACAGTGGATTTGAAATGTGATTTGGGGGTTTTGTCTATTTATTAAATAGTATTTAATGTCTTTTTTCTGAAGCCTTAGATATGTTGTGTGGTAATTACATCCCTTTGTTTTATTGTTATGAAATTCTGTTGAACTCAATCGCTATTAAAACCAATATTGAATTTAAAAAAACTGTTTACAGACAATAATCTGTCAGTTTCTGTGTTCTTTATGACTGTTAGATGTGGAGTTTTGATGCGAAAGCTTCCAGCAGTATAAATACATTATTAGAAATCCCCTGAAAATATATAGTATATAAAGGCAGAATCTGCCAACACTAATTCATTATTCCTATCAACGATTAGAGCTTTTTTTATCCAATGTGAAAACTGGAACATAATCACATATAATGAGTTACAGGTTGTTGAGCAGGTACATGCGCTCAGCTTCTTCACTGAGACTAACAAATAACTTTATCAATAATTGTATCTAGTACGTCATAAAAGTCAACCAGAATTAGCACTTGGAATTACTTAGCCTATGCTGACACTCCAATGCAATGCTGGGGGGGGGGGGGGGTGTTGCATTGTTGGAGGTGCCGTCCTTCAGATGAGATGTTAAGCCGAGGTGCTATCTGCCTGTTTAAGTGGCCGTTAAAAATTCCATGGCATTATTCATGAAGAAAAGGGAATTTCTCCTGCTGTCCTTGCCAACAATTCCCCTGATAAAATTGATCACTCATTCCATGGTTGTTTGTGGGCACATTGCTATTCAAAGCTGGCTGCCCTGTTTCACCCACAAAATACAGAGTCAATCAACTTTAAGTATATCTTGTGAAGCACTTTGAGACTACTTGACGATGTGCTAAGGCGCTTTATCGAATGCAAGGATTATTTAAGTAAAACAGGGCACAATTTATGTTTGGACTTCAGATGACACTTTCTGAATGCTGAGATTTGATTGCTAACTCCATGCTATAATATACATACCATTCACTGGGTCTTTGGATAATTAACATGAAGTACAAAATTGCTGCAAGATAAATGTTTCTTTGTTATGTTTCTAAGTGTTACAGACTATTTGAGAGGTTTACTTGGTTAGACTATTAACTGTAGTAATGCATTTTAAAAAGTTTGGCTTCGAACTTCATTCTATTCAGTGCATGATGGACAGCATTCTCTGCATTCTATTTTTATGCTGAATTGGTTTGTCTTTCTAAAGTAATTTTCATTCAATCAGAACAAACAGCTCCATAGCCTGACAGTCCTTCCCAGTGGATTGTCTGTCTTGCAGCCACAGCAAATTAACACATTATTACTTTTTTATTGGATATGCCCTCATCTAAGAGTCTCAAACTCCTATGGGTACTTCTGGGGAACTTAATTGGGATGTGAGCAGATAGCTTGCATTGTTATTTGGAAGTCCATTAGAGAAGTTGGATCAAGTATATTAAGTACTTATCAAAGAAACAATCACTTCAGCTTGATATGGAGCTCTAAATGGATGCGAATTCTGACTCAGGGATTATTCTTAATCAGAAAATCAATTCTTTAGAACGTCTATTTTTCCACTATCAGTAAATGTTTATACTCCATACCATTGATATCTTTTTCACAATTTTTTTAGCCATAGGTGAAATATGCTTTATTGTTTAACTGTCTAATGCATTTAATAACAATAATCCTTACATTTCATATATCACCTCGACTTCAAGATCCTCACCCTTGTCTTCAAATCCCTCCACTCCTCTGCACCCCACTACCTCTCTGACCTCCTCTCTTCTCACTACAGTGCCCGTTGCCTTCGTTCCACTGGGTCTGGCCTCCTCCTTGTCCCCCAAGTCCTCCGCTCCACCCTCGGCGGCCGTACTTTCAGCCACTGTGCCCCAAGGCTCTGGAACTCCCTTCCTCACTCCGTTTGCCCTCGCCCCCTTCCTATTTTCAGGTTTCGGCTGAAGACCTTTCTTTTTGACCGTGCCTTTGGTCATCTTCCTCCCCCTCCCCCTGGCTCGGCCCCAGGATCCGTTACTATGAAGTGCTCTGAGATGCCGTCCGGCGTGGAAGACCCTATATAAATTCAAGTTATTGGTGATTCATTTTCGACGCTTCTCAAAGCGCTTCACAGGATTCACTGTCAATCTGCACACAGCAATGTCCCACAAACAGACATGAAGTGGATGACCAATTTTATCTGGGGGATTGCTGGCTAGGATGTCAGGAGAAACACCCATTTTCTTCTCGAATGGTGCCATAAGATCTTTACGTCCACCTGAACATACAAACAATAACACCTTACATTGATATAGTGCTCTTCATGGGAGTAGTGTCTCAGAGCTTAATGTCACATCCAAACGGCAGGACCTGTGACACTGCTGCACTCCACCAACATTGTACTGGAATGTCAGTCCAGACTATGAGCTCAAATTATGAGCATTTATCTGAAGATTAAGATATTCAAATTATATAATTATATGGACCCATTGTATATGTGTACTACATCAACATGAAAACAAAGTCCATCCAGTATATATGTATTTAAGTTTAACAAAGTCAAGTTTAATAAAGCACTGATAGCCTGTAAGGCACATTCAACTTCCATTGCATGTCATAGTGAGTTGAGTGTAATAAACAAACTAGACACTAGATAGCATCATTTTTGGCTCTTCAATGCTGTCAAAGTTACAAAGTTAACCTTGTTTTACCACACAGGACTAGAGAATTGCTAGTTGAAGTAAACATATTCAATACTATAGGCAATGGCATAAGCTTACATGCATAAAACATTCTGTTTCTGAACACAATACACTCATCAATAGGAAAACTGAGGAGTTAATGCATTATTTAAATGATATGAGCCATTACTAAAATACAGTGTAATTGGCCTCCATTCTAATTTGTTTTGGAACACAACAGTCATTTTCTTATTTCATTCGATATTTCAAGATGTGTTGTTAAAAAGTCCCCGACTATTAAAGGACATATTTTAAGTCCAGGTACAGTAGTATGTTGCAGATATGTTCTCAACTACTATGTTTTCTCCACATTCTGTTGCCAAAATCATTTTTAAGTATTTAACCAAACATATTTTAGCTTCAACATATGCTTAAATGCTTTGTGAAAAAACTGAAAAACTGGTTATGGAACACTTTATTTTTAAATAAACTGATATTTCCATCAGAGCCACCTGATAACAATCCTACATTTGATAAAACACCTATAAGGCCAAAATGTCGTAAAGCGTTTTCCAGATAATTGCTGTAAAGAGTAGTGACTGTGTCAAACACAGCAGCCAAATTATGTGCAGCAAGGTCTTGCAAACCTTAAAGTGACCAATTTATCTGGGGGACTCCTGACTACAATAGAAAGAACATAGTATTCAAGTTCAACATAGTGTGTGTTTTTATACCCTGTGTAGTCCAATGATAATACAAATAACAGAATGAAAACAAAATAGAATCAATTTAATTTTCATTAAAAATATTTCAAACATTAATTTGTATTTAGAATAGTTCCTTTGGGAAACACTGCTGCTTTGCGCAAAATATTGGAGGACATGAGCTGTGGGAGGCTGGGACCAAAAGACTTTAATGTTTGCAATCGGTTTGGCTAATTGGTAGTTTTATGCTGTTACTCGCTTGGTAGCTGGTCTTCTTTGATGGGTGGTACGTACCCACTGTCATTTTCTCGATGTTTATCAGCGAAAAGTGTTGACACGAAATATCAACTGCAATCCTCAAAACTACTGCTGCTGCAGGAATTGAATCGCAGGGTGCTCATAGGATCAGATACATAGCCTATAAAATAATACAATAAAGTCTCAAATTGATATCCAGGATATGAACTAATTTCATGCATCAGTTCCATTGGAGGTTTATTCATTAATCCTTGTTACGATTGTACATTAGTAAAATACTACACAGCTAAACAGCAAATAAGGGCGTTGAAAATCATGGCAGATTAACCTTTTAAGGTTTAAGAAACAAATTAATTATATGGTTACATTTACGTAATATAAAAGAATTCTGGATCAATACAAAGAAAATACTTGCTTCACATTCTCGATTGCCAAAGTTACACACAGCAAAGTATGTGTGTTTTAAAAACAATTATGGAGACTAGTGCAAGAATTTAATCCCACAAGAGGAGTAATCTTAATTACTGGGGAAAAGTGAAATTATATGACTGCTCCAACTCTAACAAATGTATTATTTGACAATTTAATGTGTCAATAACTATGACTATCTCAAATTCACTCTGATCCAGAATTTAGCTGTTTCAAGATGCTGTATCATTACAACAGCAAATCCTACAGCACAATTAATCTAGTTGGACAGATGACTGAGATTAAGATCCATGTCAACCTGCAAGCAACGTACCATTTACATCAATAGGTGGATACTGGAGATTCTTCCGAAAGTCTTCCAGGGAAAGACCTTGAGCCTCTTGATTGCTGGTCCTGTAAGAAAATGCATCACAATCAATACGTTAGACTCAACACAAAAAACAGGGTATTCATCGAATGACAATAACTTGTGTTAAAAGGAGAGCTGCAAATTGCATTACACTTGAAGGGTGATTGTTCCTCAATAATTATACAGGCTATGGTGGGCGAGAATATAGTATTCACCTCTGTGATTGTCTGTAAATGTCTGAACATTGGCAGTATCAGTTTATAATGGTAAACATTGTTATCAATTCACATCCTCAAGGTGCAAGATCTTACTGAAAACTGGAGAATCCCCCAAATTAAATAATTTTGACATCTGAATGAGATTAAGGACAATCAATTGGAAAATCCCAATGATATGTTATATCGACCAACAAGCGATGAAAACTGAAAATGATGTTCTCCTGTTTGAATTTCTAACATTTTGCTAATTTGCAGATAGACATATTGTCCCTGTGCATGGATCATTTAAAATGAGGATCGTTGCCAAATGGTCTCAAGTAACAAAGATCGGCAGAAGCTGAGCGTATCCTAATTAAACCTGAGATGGGAACTCAAAACGTCTAAGTCCCAGCTCTTTCTTTATGAATGTTAGTCACCTATTTCCACAGATACATTACCATTACAAAACTTCAGGTAACCTGGTTACTTGTTACTAGTCCTTCAACTGATGTGTTAGAACCAGCCACAGAAACCACTTCTCCTCATTGAAGGAATAAAAAGTAATGAGGATCATATAGATGACAACTCTTTATGGCAGGTAAGTCTTATAGAATGAAAGTCCTTTTTATATAAAATAGTTGCTTTTTTTTTGCTCTTTCCAGATTGTTAAAGCCTAATCCTTTTAAAGTAAAAGTTTCAACAACAACAAAAAATTGCATTTATATAGCACCTCAGGAAACATTAAGCTCTGTCCTAGCTTTCTGCTTTCCATAGTACAAATAAGTACTGATAGATGAATAGTTCTACATATTGTACATCCAATTATGGATCTGGAATGTTGGAAGCTTAAAGCAATTGTAAATCTTTGACAAAAGAGCAAAAATATTCTTTGTAGTTAGTTCCTACAAAGTTCCTATTGTAGTTAGTTCCTTATCGTTATTGAGGATAAGTTAACTGTTTCAATTTGATTTCCGTATTCTTCATTCCCAAAGAAACACAATGCAATTAATTATTGTACCAATTTGTTGAGTGGTAATATTGATTCACGGAAATAGACACAAAAAATTGGTAAATTTGAATAAATGCTATTTATTGGAATGTGATGGGCTGTGGAAAATAACCAAAATTACTGTAGTTATATTACTGTTTAATCAGTGGTTTTATTTTCCGCAATATAATTATACTCTATCTCAGTATGTTTTTGCCATCGGGTCCTGACCCAACTGTCCAGCGACTTGGGACGTCCTCCCGACGTGAAAGGCGCTCTATAAATGAAATCTTGCTGTTGTTGTTGCCATGTGTTTGGGTTCAGTACTTCATATAAAAATAGCCTTTGAAAGTAAAATTCTGTGGCCGGAATGCTACATTTAAATTCTTGAAAGCTTTTAATTTTGAGAATCCATCATTGTTAAATTCATAAATAAATCTACTTAACACCAGATTAGAGTGCTCTTACTAGATGGTTACACGATTGTGAATTGGACAGCATGTAAGCAGGGGTTATCACCACACTAATGTACTTTAACTCAATCATATTTACAGTCACAAAACATATTGTAGCCACAAATAAACATAGGTCAAGGAACAATTATACTTTTTCAAGTCCTTTAATTGTGTTTATATCGTAATTCTACTTTATATTTTCATTAACGTACAGTCATATAATCACTGGTTGTAATAAACTAATGAATGGATCCAGAAAGTCGTTTCAATGTGAGATGCATTGTATCAAACGCAAGTATTATTATACTAGCGAGTTGTTCCGATCTGGAATGTGTTTCCTGAAAGGGTGGTGGAACCCGATTCGATAACAACTTTTAAGAGAGAAGTAGATAATTATTTAGGGAGGACAAGTTTGGAGGGCTATGGGGAGAGAGCGGGGGAAGTGGAATTGATTTGGATAGCTCTTTTAAAAGAACCGGCACAGACACAATGGGCTGAATGGCCTCCTTCTGTGCTGTATAATTGTATGATTCTATGATTATGCAGTTTCTCCCTGGCCAAAGTCAACACCTGGTTCCTCCAGCTTTGCCAATGTTACTCTGTAAGAAGCAACAACTATGAATGCAACAGACCAAGATGAAATTTGTAAGACTGGCTAAATATGTTATTCATTGATTTTCTGTCATTCTCTTCTGACATCAATGCTGAGATCATGAACACATTTAAACAATCACCTACCAGTCTGTGCCACAGAGGCCTGGTAGAGCATTGCAACTATATTACCAGCATATTCAAAGTGCAAATCTGAACATAAAATATTTTCTAGATGTTTCTCAAACAACAATGATGAAACTTCTAAAATAATGTCAGTCGTAAACCTATACAGTCAAGTTAAGGATTGCTTTGTGTCTAAATATCTTTGTGCAATTTTAATTAGTCACTTGAGAACACTCATTTTACAGTTAGCTAGAAAATAACTCGAGACATTGTTCCCTGTGGATCCCAAAGTATTTTCCATTTAAGACTGCATAAACGTTTAAGTGGATTGTCATTTGAAGCTGCAAGCATTGCATTCTTATTTCATTTGCAGTTTGGTATCCAGTCTGACACCTCAAACCCTGATTTGCAGTTTGAGCTTTGACTGGCATTTTTCATCTTGTGTTGTTTCACAGGGTGAAACATTTATGCATTCAAAACATGGATTCAGTGTGAATAAAATATACCAAAGCGTTTTAAGACGTCTTGAAGATGTGTTAAGGCGCTATATCAAATGCAGGGATTATTATTATTATAAACTAACAATTAAAGAATAGTCAAGTGACCATTATTCCTTTGGGCCCTGGGCTGTCATCACTCAACACCTTTATGTCACCTTCTAAAATTGCTAAAAAAAGAATTAAACTACGTCCTGATAAAAGGATAAAAAGTGATAATTAAATGAAGACAAGTGTTTAATTTAGGACATTGCTGTGAGTGAATTATGATAATATGCATTCCTGTAATAATAAATTAAAATGTTCACCTTTTTAATTCAGAAGTATAAAGTCTATTAGTATCCATAACAATATCAGATATTTTAAAGCAAGTGGTTCAAAAATGAAACTAAATAACTATCGTCAAAATAATTATGTAACATGAATATTCCTTTACTGTTCTGCTTGTTTCAGTCAATGTCATTCACTTTATAATTGTCTGTCAATCTGAGCAGAATTGTTTTATATCCAAAGCATTTCAGGCTCCAGTAGAACTGTGAGTGGCAACACTTTTTATTTTTTGGAAACAGTTCATCAACCATGTCAGTCAACAACTTTTTTTAAAAAACTCTCAATCCTGTCACCATATAACAGAAATTCAACTAATAATTCAATTGTACACCTATTTATGGTATTGCTTCGCAGTGATGTTTCAGATATGAAAACACTTGGTAATGTAGATTTTTTTTTAATCATTGAAAAGGGAAATGTTAAATGCAGACACCTGTGTCCAAAGATTCAAAGCTGACTTCTGCGAAGACGAATTCAGTCACAGATAATAAACAGAATGTCCACAGCTATGAAATTATTTTCATGGAAAAGTATATCTGAACACTCAGGCTGCAGGCTGCCTCCTCATATCTAATAAACCAAATATCCCTTTCCACCCTATCACATTCTTATTCTAATCCCAGGGTTTCTTTCACAGTGACTTAAAGCATTGAAATGTTTTTGTTTCCATTCTAAATTAATAATAATTATTACTTACATTATGTTCCAGAAATTTATCAGTGACCTCTGGCACAAGACACCCATAACCTTATTGATCTCTCTTTAAGGTTTGCTTATCACATCTGTACATATTTAGCAAGGAAATGCGCATAGTTCCCATAATTCATGTCTAACGTTGTGCCACAACAAGGTGTTGCACAATTGCTTGCACAAGATGACCACTAATTGGAGAAAGGTTTGCATTTTATCGCACAGGAAGAATATTTTACATAATTTATTTCACAATTAAAATGGATTTGATATAAAGATCAACTTGCAGGAGTCATCATGAAAAGTTTAGATATTCACTGTTGGGTTATTGTCAAATCATACAGATTTCTTTTATTTTGAATCCTGTATACAGTATTCAGTCAACTGTGCATGCAGGACACACTACTTTGTGTTTGCAGTGCTTAAGTATGTTATGTTTTGGAAATATGGAACAATGGGCTCATAATTTCAGCAATAGGCTGTACATCCCTTGGAGACTCTCAGAATAACAGTTTGTGTAAAGTTTTCTGTACTGTTCTGATGTGTGTGCACTATTTATAGCTGAGACAAGCGAAAGTATTCAGGTGTGAAAGATTACTACGCGGATGTATATGTTTTTGTACCATTTTATGCTGAGGGTGACATGATTCCCAAGTATTAGAGTTAAACTCTCTCAGAATTGCAGTAGCATTTATAGCAACATTAAAATTAAGCAAGAGTTCCATGTTTTATGTTTGTGCTAAGAACACGAAAACATGATACATACCAACAAGTTTCCCTAACCCTATTTTATAATACTGAGCAATAGAAAAATTATATACAGAATGCTCTTGTTTATTTTTGCTGCTGTTATATAACCATATTTGTAATGGCAAAGAGCATCCAGGTTTTGAAGGATAGACTGCTGGCTTGTGAATACAAGTCAGCAGGAATAGGAATATGCTCCATAGAAATCTGTAGTAGAGAGAGAGACTCCCTGTCTGAGAAAATATTTTGTTTACCAAAGCTGAGGTCAGAGCAAACATGACTTCGGAATAATTCAAACCTTCACTGGGCAACATAAATGCAATGAATTCTATCATATCATGACTGTTGTAGGTTCAATGCAGCACTTATTCACATGAACTAACTTCTGTAGGTTTTCAATGTGCACATTTGCCAATAAATCGAGTATAATATGCCCCGGAGAGCAATTAATTCATGTGTTAGTGGTTACAAAGTGAAGGAGTATATTCATTTGCTTTTATTCAATGACTGAAGTATAACTTAAGCTCATCAGTATGGAGAAATGGGGAAAAGAATAGAAAGAAGTAAGTTTCTACCCATAACAAGACAATGGATTTGCACCATTGGGGCTGCTGTAGACCACAGAGAAACAAATGGCTGCCCTCTAGTATCTCTAAGCTGTTTCCAAAACACTGATAGAAGGTTTCCCATTGTGCTGATGATGCAGATGACATGTCTCTGGACACTACATTTGTTGAAACAGGAACATAAAGAGGTCTATGTGTTATTGAAACAGTCGCTATGAAAGATTGTCACAGGGAGCAAGCCAGAAATAAATGCAAACACAGCTAATGTAATACTATATGAAGCTATCTTGGAGCCTGAAGCAACACTTGCAATTTTCCCTGAAATTGTTTTATTGAAATTCTTTATGTTCATTACGCAGCAACATAGTTTACATTTTATATTTACATGTGGTTTACAAATGTAACTAAAAAGAGTGAATATGATCTTTATTGCTCCATAGATCATTTATGCTGTAAGGAGATAATTTTCTCATATCCAGTCGCTGGAATTAGAAATCTAAAATTGAAATTACTACAAACATATAATTGTTTCCATGAATTGCCTTCATGTACTGCAGTTTGTGATGCTAATTGAATCTAAAGTGCATCCAGGTTATATAAGTATCAGTAATCTCCAGTACAGTAATATAGCACAGTGGGAACATAATATTTTTAAAATCCAAAATAAAATAAATTGTAAGGTACCCCACATCGTCCCACAGCAGAGAGATGCAATTTGGAGGTATAATCAGACTCTGGATACTCACAATTGCCAATTCATTATAAAAAGAGAGTGGATTTCAATTCCTCGTATTATATATTACTTCACCATCTATTCAAGGGTCATGTCTTTCACCATAAAACCAAATTAATCCCAGTTAGATATCTTAATTATAAAATTATAGTAGGTAATAGAAGTAATCGTTTCCTGGATTGATTTTGCACTCCAATTACAAGTATAATTTTACACAATTTTCAAGCTGTTAAGGAGCTGGGGAATAACATTTAGTTTAGGAAATACATCAACCACTATCATTTTAATCATCTTCCAGCAGTTAGCCTTTTCCACAATACTGGAGAGCTTAAGCAAAGGATCATCATGCAGTCACCACCAGCCAAAGTTGAAAAGAGAACCAAGGGAAGGCCAGATGATATCAGGCTTGAGTTTCACCTTCCTTACCTCTGTGACCACACAGCATATGCCCGTGCATTAAGGGCATATTCCAGCTCAAAGCGCGTACGTAGAGCTGCCACGTGACTCCTGCCTGGCCCTCCACGACCCACCAAGCAATCGGAGGAAGAGGAGGGTGACAGAGAGCCACTGCTGTTACTTGAGGCTGGGGACATCAGCTGAATGAAACAAAAACAATAATTTATTATCTATCAGTGCATTCCCAGCTTATTAGGATAAAGAAACGTTTGAAGATACAGCGCACGTCTGCTATTACCTCTATGTTGCAAAGGCATTCCTCCAATTTTGTAACCACTTCTGAAAATTCAGGTCTTTCCTGGAGATGAGAGAGACATATTTAATACAAAATATTATCTAAAATAGAACAATGGTGAACAGTAGTTCCGTAATGTCTTTGAATGTAATGCTGCAAGTTTTCAAGTAGAGTAGAATATATATGTAAGCAGAATGGCTCCATGTCTGCCCTATTTGGAGTATGGCAATTCTTTACATTTTTTTGTAGGTACTCTATCTTTATTTGAATAATGATTAGAATCGAATAGGAGCTGATGATACAGCCTTATTGAGTGGAAAGAGAATTGATTTCAATTTCAATCTAGTCAGTGGTGTCCTGGAGAGTGGACTATGCCAACGTCCAAGAACCATAACAAAGTAAAAGTGCCACTCTATTAAGCGACTGTCTGACATGTTATTGTGGCGGGATAGAGTTTTACTCTGTGTCTGTCCTGTACTATTCTCTCATATTCTTTTGCTGTATAACTCATGATTAAGACACAAGAAAAGTATTCAGTTTTCTTGCACTGATATCCCTTATCTTGATGAACACAACATTACACAAGAGAGAAGAAAGAAATATATGAATATTTATCGTCATTTTCTCGCTTTTTCTGATCATGGTTGGATATAGTTCCATGGGTGTCAAAAGGACTAGCTTTACATCTCTTCCAATGATTTTTTCCCTTGAAAAACATTACATGATGATATTTTTTCTCTTTTATTTCCATGAAAGTGTTTTTTCTAATCTTTACAGGACTGATACCAGATTGCTGTGCAGAGCAAAGATTTTCAGAGGTTTTCTGGTCGGATGTAAATTACCACTGGAAGCTGTTTTGACACGGGTGAAAATGAAAAGTAAAGTGTTTAATATATATAATTATTAGGGGGCGGGGGGAAACTGATCTGATCTTCTTTAGAAAGTATTTTCAAACTTTGATCCTTTACTGTATTTGCTCTTGTTTCAGTTTATGTGACCTATTTAATTTTATTTTATACATATTTCTCTCTGTGTGGCATTTAATCTGTATGTATCATGTTGGCCTTTTATTTTCCTTCTTCATATCTTCCACTTTGCCCACTATATCTAGTACCTAGACCTCTCCATCACTGCTGTCAAGCTGTCCTGTAAAGGTCTGCCCACCACCCAGAAACAGCTGCCCGCCAGATAGCTGATGAGGAAACTCTGAGGCTTGGGGCAACAGCTGCTGGAAGGAGTGGCAGGACCTGGAAGGGCAGAAAAGTCACTGGGGCCAGGGAGTCCTCCCCCTCAGCTCCTGTTAACCCTGCAAGCCAAAGCCCTAATGGATAGAGTGGTACTAGTTGGACAAGCAGCAGGAAAGCTTGCCGAGCATCAATATCAATGCCAAGTTATGCGGTTTTAGCTGGTTAGACTTCAGTAGCACCCCAATGCACACTCAGGGGTCCCCAAGCCTTGGCTCTTGCCAACCTGCGTCTAATACTTTCTGGAATTAGTTAAGCAGGATGCATCCCTCCAAGGGGAGAGTGCACATTCCATTCCAACAATCTACCTCTGGGATTTCCACATGTAGATGGGATGCATGGAAATCTCAGCTTGGTTTGGATACTCTTAAGCATGGCGATGGGTTTCCGCATGTATCAGACACCCGGCTGACCATCCAAAAATACTCTATGACTGATTCGACAACTGAAGCAGGGTGAGCTGAGTGATACCAGTTGTTCTTGTTCCTTTGTGATGGAATGACTCACCCTTACAACACATTACCATTTAATCACCTCCTTAGGCTGCTTGATACATGAGGCCTTTTCACTCCCCTATAATGGACAGGATCACTATAGCAACAGACTCCATTTAATCATCTCCTTAAACTGACTGAGATAAAAAGAAATTACCAGCCATGTACGTGATGGAATACTTCACTATAGCGACACAGTTCCATTTAATAGCTGCTGTGAGCAATGCTAAAATTTACTTAAATTTACCATCGGCAGTCCTGGAACTTAACTTCCATTCTTCCAGGAATGATTTGCTTAACTGTTTGAGTTACTAGGGCTTTCAACAATTTGGCAATAACTTGACTTTAATCTAAATTGAGACTCGCAGTGTGTGAACAGAAATGTTCTAATTGTGTGTGTTTATTGTCTGGGACTTGCCAGCATCACCTCTAAATAGGAAGATTATGTTTATGCACATCACAAGCTCTATATAATGTGACAAATAGCCCCAGTGAGTCAAACAGAAGAAAATATAAGTCCATTTTATAAATAACATTAGTTAAAGAACTAATTCTATTGATCTGAATGTTAGAGAAATTGAGAAATTGATTCATCAGTAGCAAGCCATTGCTAAGTGAGTCCACTACTCTACTATTGGCAAATCATAACTTTGTGATCAAAGTCTTTAACAATGTAAAAGTCATTGATAATGTTCATTTTTGTTGTTGCAGGTGTTCTCCTAATGATCTTAATAGTCTTTGCTTTGCCAATTGAGTACTCCGTTTCCCATGATTGTCCTGCTTCCTGCATTGTGTGTATGGAAAATGCAACTATCTGCCAAGGCCTAACATATATACTAGGTTTGTTAATCCAGATTGCATTCAGCGTTGTCTTAAAACAAATTTAGAACAAAGTGCAAGAGATGTTCAAGTATTCAATGCAAGAAACAATATTTAGATCAGCTAAATTAAAGTGCAGATATAATGTGCATGTGCCACCCCAAATACTTTCAAACATTAGTAAAATTGTTTGATTTGTAATGCAATGATTTGTATTCTTGCAGCTACTCCCCTAACCACAAGAGCTTTGCTGCTTACTGATGGACTGATTACTTCTGTATGCAAATCTAACTTGACCAGGTTGTCATCCTTAACCTTACTGAGGCTAAGCAATAATGGAATTGTGAACATTAAAGAGGATGCTTTTTATGGGCTTTCAAAGCTCAGGACCTTATTGCTGGATCAAAATGAAATAACAAAGTATGCCATAACTGAATCTACTTTTACTGGGCTTTCAAACTTACAGACACTTCAAATGGATAACAATGCTCTCAGCCAGATCAATGGGACATGGTTCAAACATATGGTAAATCTCATCTCTCTACAATTAAGAGGGAACCAGATCACAAAACTAGAAGCAAATATTTTCAGAAAATCAAGCCTTTATAATCTTCAAATCTTGGATCTCTCCTATAATTTCATCAGTTACATTGACAGAGATGCATTTCAAGCTCTGAGAAGCCTGGAACACTTGGATCTGTCGAGAAACCGTATTTCAGTAATGCCTGATTCATTTTCTCATCTATCAAAACTGTCAGTATTAAACTTGGATCTCAATCACTGGAATTGCACTTGTGAACTGAAAGAACTCTCTTTATTTTTGAGAAACTTTATTAAAAGTCCAGATAGAACCTTGATAAATGCCAAAGATCTCGTCTGTGAGGCAACAGAGAGCTCTGCAATACAGACTCTTTTTCAGTTAACAGATGCAAACTGTGTACCTTCATCTGAAAATATAACAATAATATTGAAGAATGAGTTTTATAGACAATATGTGCGGGATATTGCCTTAGCAGCTGTATTCTGTTTTGCAGGTATGATATTTAACAAATTTCTGTGTGTCCATTTAGAGAATAGACTTTCATATAATATCTGGCAAGTTGCCACTGTGTAAATAATGTGCATTAATTAAATAATTTTCTGATAGTGATCCTACCACAAAGTTGCATATGATAGTCTGAAATGAAAAGTCCCACATAAACAGAGAAACATACTTCTAAAGTCTATTCAAAAAACTGACTAAAGATGGAATTAACCATTATTTAAGCGATCTGAGACGCTACCCTGCATAGAGGGCACTGTATAAGTACAAGTTGTTATTTAAATGTGTTAAGGTTTGCTACCTTAGCTTTTATAATACAGTAATATTTCACTAGAGCTAACAAACTATTACCCTTAATTCATATTTATTGCAACATAATAAACAAACTGTGATTTGAAATACAATTATTTTCAACATGAAGCAGAATAACACAAACCAATTTGAGTCATAATTATAATTAATTGCAAGGTAACAAAACTAAAATATAAGAAAATATTTGTCATATGTTGTTGTATAAGTCTGAAGGACTTGATATTTTCTAATATCTGAATAACTTTCTTCAGTATGTGTTCTATTTGAATAAGAAGCTAGTATTATTTCTGCTGAAGCTGTTATACATATGTTTGCATAAACCTTAATGCTGTGATGTTCTGACGAATTGCAGGTACCGTGGTACTGACCATAGCAATTATAGCAGTTATCCTTCACAAGAAACACCAACAACACATCCAACCATGCCAACCAACTGGTGCTAACATATCCAATTCTAGCTCTCGGCAAAACCATATTTTCAAGGAATTCTCCAATGGTTATGATAATGAAGTGCAAGTCGTATCAACAGTAAGCTCTGCAGACGAAAGAAAACTTTTGGAGCAGAACATTGTTGGTGCAAAGTCCAGGGAGGACTCCAAACAAAGATTTCATGAAAAATCAATAGGTCACTTAAATCAAGTGAACCAGATTGCCACAAAGGGTAATCACTTTATATGCCACAACTGCAAATTGGTACATTCATTCCCAGTTGCTTCATATGGAAATATATCCACTGACAATGAAGTCAAGAGGCTTGCAGATCGCTTCTCTGGGGTGGCAAAAGAACAAAGAGAAGTATGTCGAAGTGTGTCTCACTGGAAAGATATACAGACAAAATCGCCACGGCGGTGCCAATGTTTAATAAGGGTATGTTTTCTTACAACAGAAAGATTTATTATGATTTATAAAATAATATTCGTATAAGTAAAAACAAAAGCTAAAATTTAATGCTAAATTTCAGAATTTTAAATTTGGTGTCCATTAGAACAATGAAGCTACTCTAAGTTGAGCATTGTAATATATGTTTAAGCACAATAATACCATAGGGGATTGATTCATCAAGTAGTGCAAACAGCACAAAGCTTATCACCAAACAAAGGTGGGGGAGTTGAAACCCAGGCCTTCCCACCATTTGATCTACCAATCTCAATC